AAAAATACACCTCAGCTGGGGCTGAGGAATTTTTTCTATAGAAAAATACACCTCAGCTGGGGCCGAGGAATTTTTTCTATAGAAAAATACACCTCAGCTGGGGCTGAGGAATTTTTTCTATAGAAAAATACACCTCAGCTGAAGCTGAGGAATTTTTTCTATAGAAAAATACACCTCAGCTGGGGCTGAGGAATTTTTTCTATAGAAAAATACACCTCAGCTGGGGCTGAGGAATTTTTTCTATAGAAAAATACACCTCAGCTGGGGCTGAGGAATTTTTTCTATAGAAAAATACACCTCAGCTGGGGCTGAGGAAGTTTTTCTATAGAAAAATACACCTCAGCTGGGGCTGAGGAAGTTTTTCTATAGAAAAATACACCTCAGCTGGGGCTGAGGAATTTTTTCTATAGAAAAATACACCTCAGCTGGGGCTGAGGAATTTTTTCTATAGAAAAATACACCTCAGCTGGGGCTGAGGAATTTTTTCTATAGAAAAATACACCTCAGCTGGGGCTGAGGAATTTTTTCTATAGAAAAATACACCTCAGCTGGGGCTGAGGAATTTTTTCTATAGAAAAATACACCTCAGCTGGGGCTGAGGAATTTTTTCTATAGAAAAATACACCTCAGCTGGGGCTGAGGAATTTTTTCTATAGAAAAATACACCTCAGCTGGGGCTGAGGAATTTTTTCTATAGAAAAATACACCTCAGCTGGGGCTGAGGAATTTTTTCTATAGAAAAATACACCTCAGCTGGGGCTGAGGAATTTTTTCTATAGAAAAATACACCTCAGCTGGGGCTGAGGAATTTTTTCTATAGAAAAATACACCTCAGCTGGGGCTGAGGAATTTTTTCTATAGAAAAATACACCTCAGCTGGGGCTGAGGAATTTTTTCTATAGAAAAATACACCTCAGCTGGGGCTGAGGAATTTTTTCTATAGAAAAATACACCTCAGCTGGGGCTGAGGAATTTTTTCTATAGAAAAATACACCTCAGCTGGGGCTGAGGAATTTTTTCTATAGAAAAATACACCTCAGCTGGGGCTGAGGAATTTTTTCTATAGAAAAATACACCTCAGCTGGGGCTGAGGAATTTTTTCTATAGAAAAATACACCTCAGCTGGGGCTGAGGAATTTTTTCTATAGAAAAATACACCTCAGCTGGGGCTGAGGAATTTTTTCTATAGAAAAATACACCTCAGCTGGGGCTGAGGAATTTTTTCTATAGAAAAATACACCTCAGCTGGGGCTGAGGAATTTTTTCTATAGAAAAATACACCTCAGCTGGGGCTGAGGAATTTTTTCTATAGAAAAATACACCTCAGCTGGGGCTGAGGAATTTTTTCTATAGAAAAATACACCTCAGCTGGGGCTGAGGAATTTTTTCTATAGAAAAATACACCTCAGCTGGGGCTGAGGAATTTTTTCTATAGAAAAATACACCTCAGCTGGGGCTGAGGAATTTTTTCTATAGAAAAATACACCTCAGCTGGGGCTGAGGAATTTTTTCTATAGAAAAATACACCTCAGCTGGGGCTGAGGAATTTTTTCTATAGAAAAATACACCTCAGCTGGGGCTGAGGAATTTTTTCTATAGAAAAATACACCTCAGCTGGGGCTGAGGAATTTTTTCTATAGAAAAATACACCTAAGCTGGGGCTGAGGAATTTTTTCTATAGAAAAATACACCTCAGCTGGGGCTGAGGAATTTTTTCTATAGAAAAATACACCTCAGCTGGGGCTGAGGAATTTTTTCTATAGAAAAATACACCTCAGCTGGGGCTGAGGAATTTTTTCTATAGAAAAATACACCTCAGCTGGGGCTGAGGAATTTTTTCGATAGAAAAATACACCTCAGCTGGGGCTGAGGAATTTTTTCTATAGAAAAATACACCTCAGCTGGGGCTCAGCCTCTTTTATATCCCAAGCCCATCTGAGGCGGTTTTTTTTCAGCAGAAAAAAATATCCGCAACCCTGTTGAATTGAATGCTTTCTTTCGGTTTTCTCTACTTTTGTGGTGATAAAGCAGTTCGCGATGATAATACTGTTTGCACGAAGATCGGTATTGCTAAATGGTTTATCGATCAGATAATAGACGTAGCCAAGACATATACCATTGATACCATATATGTATGACATTGCCATCCAATGAAATTTTTAATTATCATCTTGATTTCGTATACGGTAAAGTGTTAATATTGTAAATGTGTACTTGTATCGACATAAATGGGTTAATATCAACGTAAACAACTTTACATTATAAAATCTGTAGCATAATTTAGGGGATACACATATATTGTATGGTGAAGATGTAAAGAAAAGTAAAATTCCGTAAAAAGCAGATGTCTTTGAAAAGTCAGCGCCAAAAACATTTAAACTTCATTCGGTTTACATATCTCCTTCTTACCTATGCAGACTTCAAAACATTTTCTTATTGCCTTTAATGATTTATATAAAGCTGCTCTTGGGATACTGAAAGTCTCTTCAGAGCTCATCGCCATCTTTTCGAGTCTCTATGTTTCGTATTTGGACTCCACATTGCCTATTCATAACTTTGGAGACCTTCCCGCCGTTGTTCGGACTTCAATAGTCCTCTTTACATACTCGAACTTCTTAGGACCTCCTAAAACGTATATGAGTATCAATAGAATTGTTGTTCCATTTAGAAATTATAGAACCTCTCGAACATATTTGGGCCTATACAAAGTTCGTCTTAGCATTCTCAAACGTCTACAGAGCTCTCCATCACCTGCCCGAACCTCCATGCCTATTTAGACCTCTATAGGGCTCTTTCTTGCATATACATACCTCTGGAAACCTCCTCATCAGTTGTTCGGACCTCTATATAGCTCCTCTTTAAGTATTTAAACCTCTATAGGGACTTCCTCAACACGTAATTGAGAATTTGAGCATCGATTTCTGTGTTCCCATTTAAAAATTATAGAATCCCTCGAACGTATTTGGGCCTATATAAATCTCCTCTTAGCATTCTCAAACTTCTCGAACCTTTATAGACCTCCATATGGCATATTTGGATATCTGTAGAGCTTCTTCTTTCATATTCGTAGGTCTTGATACCTCCTCAGCAGATGTTCGAACCTTCATATAACACATTTTTATTATTCCATTGTATCGACATTCTCAGCATCAGTTTGAAGCTCTGTACAGCTTCCTCTAACCTCTAGGATTTTCCTCAACTAGCATTTGAGCATTTATGGAACTTCTTTCTGCCCATTCGATACCTCTTCGTTATCTCTGCGAACTTCTAGTTCATACTTACTACTTCTAGTTCATACTTACTACTTCTATCTCTAAGAATGTATTCATCACAAGGTCTCTACCCTATAGAACTCTTTGATACCTACATCGAGATTTAATGACCTCCTCATCAGCTGTTCGAAATAATATATTGTTATATAGTAATAATTCAGATCACTAGATGCCTCCACATTACTTCTTTGTAGCTCTACAGAGCTCCTCATTGTCTATGTGGGCCCAAGGAAAGCTCCTCATCACCAATCGAACCTATAGAGCTCCTCATTGCCTATTTGGACCTCTATAAAGTTTTTCGATAACTGGTCAGACATTTAGATACATCCTCGTCACCTCTAACAACCTCTAAATAGCTCGAACTCACCACTTCGCTATCTAAGGACGTCTTATTGATACGTTCGATCCTCTATGGAGTTCTTTATTACATACTAGTAGCTCTGTTCCAACAAAAATATAGTTTCTTCTTACTTAATCACATCTCTAGATACCTACACATTACCTCCTCGTGCTTCGACTGAAATCTCCTAGCCTCAGGATACCTCAAAACCATCGTTTGAAACTCTAAAGAACTCCTCAATAGGAACTTGGATCTCTGTAGAGTTCGTCAATACCTTTTAAGACCATTAGCGATATTCTCACCGCCAGTTCGGACCTCTATACACCTAATCCTACATCTTTTAACCTATACAAAGCTCCTGAATACAATCTTTAACTTAAACTTCTTCAGAGCTCCTCCTTATCTACTTAGAACTGAGAATACTGATCTTCTCATTACCAGTTGAGACCACTACAAAGCCTCTAAATACCCACTCAGACCTCTATCGACCTTCTCATTATTTGTTCGACAATCTACAGAGTTCCTTAATACCAACTTGACCCTATGTAGTGCTACTGCTCAGACTTCCGGCGATTACTTACAAGAACATTACTTGTTAGAACATCTACAAAGCTCCTTAATACCAATTTGGATTTCTGTAGAGTTCCTCCTTACATATTCTGACTTCTAGCGACCTCTTCATCACCAGTTGAGACCTCAACATAGCTCCCAAATACCTACCCTGATCGAATCTTCTAAGGAGCTTCTCATTAACCACTCAGATTTCTAGAGATCTCCTACATGGCTCCTTAATACCAATTTGGACGTCTGTAGAATTCTTCCTTAAACAGTCTGACTTCTAGCGACGACCTTTTCATCACCAATTGAGACCTCAACAGAGCTCCCAAATACCTACCCTGATCGAATCTTCTAAGGAGCTTCTCATTAACCACTCAGATTTCTAGAGATCTCCTCCCAATTTGTTGAACTTCGATAGAGATGAACGTGAGAGCCTTTAAAGCTCTTCGAACTTCTATATCGATTTCCTATCTATGGAGCTCATCATTGCTTACTCAGACCTCTAGAGAACGTAAAATGCTCCCCATTACATACATAAACCTCTACTATGTTTCTCATAACTTTAATAAACCTCATTACATCGCATTTACCCTCTTCGGAACCGAACCTTTTCAGCTCATATCATTTTCCGCTGAAGCATAAACTCTACGGAGAACTTCTGAATGCGAAAAAACTCACATACAAAATTTATTTATAAATTATTGTAACATGCACAAGGCAACAGTTATTCTGTTCTCAGACGCGTTACAACACTAATCGGATAATTGGCTTCGTTCAATTAATGTTCGGCAAATTAATATTATCAACAGCAACAACATCAAAAATTAAACATGTTTTTTGTATTAGCATTGCTGGTGACGATTTCATTTGTAATTTATAAAGAACTCGGACGCTGGAAAATACAACGAAAATTGACTCATACTCCAGGACCCAGGACGTTGCCGATTATTGGCAATGGTCATCAGATGGGAAGTACGCCAAAAGGTAAAATAAAAAAAAAAACAATTTTTGTTAAGTGTTGGAAAAACAAAAGTAAAAACTCCCACGTCTATGAGACACGAACCGAACCTCCCTCTCTGATGTATGGGGTCTATTTTGTTTTGGGAAACTGACCTAATCTAATAAAACAACAAAAATATCTACGATGATGATTTGAAATGTTTGTTGCTGTTTTTTTTCAATAAGACCGAATTAATTATATGGTTATTACATGCAATACAGTGGAGCATGGCTACGATGCATAATTCGGGAATGAAATTTCCGGTGTTTCACGACCTGAATATATTTTTTGTACTCTATAAATCTTCAAAATCTCAAGTGAATTTTTATTTGTGGATCCAGTATAATCACGTTCCACTCTATGACTATAAAAAACAATCATTGCAAAATTACAAAAACAAATATAAAAATAAAACCATAATAAAAAAGTGAATGTTTGTTGAAGTTCCAATGAACTTGTTCTTATCGCATTCGGGGTTGCTGTCGGACAAGATTCGTGATAATTTTTTGTGTGTGTTTAAAATTTCATAATGCATTTGCATATCTATTAAATGGTCGGTGACAAACATTTTTCTTTACGTTGATTTTTATAATGTGGAATGTGGAGGCACGATATCAACTTGAATCTCCATAAAGCTCCTTCTTACCTATTAAGACCTCTAGCGGCCGCCTCATCACCAGTTTATACATCTACATAGCTTCAAAATACCTACTCATACCTCTAGCGAACTCCTCATAACTGCTTTGAACCTCTAAAAAGCTCCTGATACTTACCTCTACAAAGCCTCTTAATACTTACCCTGACCTCTAGCGACATTATTATGAATTCACCGAACCTTCTCAAAGCGCTACAATACTATCTTGGACATCTGTAAAGTTCCGCCATACCTACTCAGAGCTCTAGCGACCCCCTCATCACCATTTGGGACCTCTACAAAACTCCTCAATACCTACTCAGACCTTTTGCGAACTTCTTATCACTTTTTCGAACTTCTACAGAGCTCATCAATACCAACTTGGACCTCTTAGAGCTCCTCCGAACATATTCAGAATAGCTATCTTCTTATTACCAGTTGGGATGTCTACAAAACTTCTCAATACCAAGTTAAACCTCTATAGAGCTCCTCATCTCCTATTAGGACCTCTGTTCAGCTCTCTACCTACTAAAACCTTTAGCGAACTTCTCATCGCCTTATCGAACTTCTACAGAGCTCCTAATATCAACGTTGACCTCTGTAGAGCTTCTTCTTACCTACTAAGACGTCTAGCTGCCCTTCATCACCAGTTAATACCTCAACAATGCTACACAACTCACGCCCTTCATCACCAGTTAATACCTCAACAATGCGAAGTCCTCATAACTGTTTTGAACCTCTACAAAGCTCCTGAATACTAATTTTGACTTCTCCAAGCCTTTTAATACCTACATTGACCTCTAGCGAACTTATCATGAATTGACCGAACCTCCTAAAAGTTCGTCAGTACTATTTCGGAACTCTGTAGAGCTATCCCATACCTACTCAAAACTCCAGCGACCCTTTAATTACCGTTCGAGATCTGTACAAAACTTCTCAATACTAACTCAGACCTCTAGCGTCCTTATTATCACTTCTTCGAACTTCTACAGAGCTCATCAATACCAACATCAACCTCTATAGAGCTCCGTACATATTCAGACCTCTAGCTACCTTATTACTTCCAGTTGGAACCTCAGCATTAACTTGGACCTCTATAGAGCTCCTCAACAGATGTTCGGACCTAAACTGTTACAGCTCATCCATACCAATAAGACCTCTAGCGAACTTTTCATTACTTGTTAGTACTTCTAAAGACCTGTTGGGACCTCTATACATCTCATCTATACCTACTAAGACCTTTAGCGAACTTCTCATCGCTTTATCGAACTTCTACAGAGCTCCCAATATCAACTTTGACCTCTGTAGAGATTCTTCTTACCTACTAAGACGTCTAGCTGCCCTTCATCACCAGTTGATACCTCAACAATGTTCCCCAATACCTACAGATACCTCTAACGAACACCTCATAACTGTTTTGAACCTCTACACAGCTCCTGAATACTAATTTCGACTTCTCCAAGCCTTTTAATGCCTACCTTGACCTGTAGCGAACTTATCATGAATTGACCGAACCCTCTAAAAGTTCGTCAATACTATTTCGGAACTCTGTAGAGCTATCCCATACCTACTCAAAACTCCAGCGACCCTTTAATTACCGTTCGAGATCTGTACAAAACTTCTCAATACTAACTCAGACCTCTAGCGTCCTTATTATCACTTCTTCGCACTTCTACAGAGCTCATCAATACCAACTTGAACCTCTATAGAGCTCCGTACATATTCAGACCTCTAGCTACCTTATTACTTCCAGTTGGAACCTCTGCATTAACTTGGACCTCTATAGAGCTCCTCAACTCATGTTCGGACCTCTATACATCTCATCCATACCAATAAGTTCGCTAGAGAACTTCTCATCACTTGTTAGAACTTCTAAAGACCTTCTCAATAACAATTTGGACCTCGATAGAGCGCCGACGTACCTATTCAGACCAGCTGATTCGAACTTCTACAAAGCCCCCAATAATAACTTGGTCCTCTGGAGAAATCATCCTTACCTACTACCACATCTAGCAAACTTCTCATAGCTTGTTCGAACCTCTACAAAGCCCCTTTATACCATCATCGACCTCCACAAAACTCCTCAATACCTACATAGACCTCTAGTGAATTTCTCATCAGTTGTTCGAACATCTACAGAGCTTCTCAATACTAGCTTGAACCTCTCCAGAGCTCATCCCTACCTACATGGACCTCTAGCGAATCGTTCATCACCAGTTCGGACTTCTGCAAACCTCCTAAATACCTAAATTGACCTTCTCAGCACTTGGTCGGACCTATACAAAGCTCCTGAATACGATCATCGACCCCTGTAAAGCTTCTCATTACCTACTTAGACCTCTAGCGACATTTTCATCCCCACTTGAGACATCTACAGAGCCCCTCCAACCTACTAAGACCTCTATCGACCTTATTAAACATAGCTCCTGAATACCATCATCGACCCCTGTAAAGCTTCTCATTACCTACTTAGACCTCTAGCGACCTTTTCATCCCCACTTGAGACCTCTACAGAGCCCCTCCAACCTACTCAGACATCTATCGACCTTATTATCACTTGTTCGAACTTCTACAAAGACCCTCAATACAATTTTGGACCTCTATATAGCTCATCCTTACTTACTCAGACGTCTAGCAATCCTCTTGTTACCAATTGAAACTTAAACATACCTCCTAAATATCTACTCTGACCTCTCATCATTTGGTCGAACCTCTACAAAGCTCCTCAACATCATCATGGACCTTTATAGACCTCCTCCTTACCTACTCGGACCTCCAGCGAACCTCTTATCACCAGTTGGAACTTCTACAGACCTCCTAAATACCTATTCTGACCTCTGCACACCTTCATTCAATTGTACGAACCTCTACATACTCTGTTCTTTACCGATCTCATCCTTCTCGTCCTCTTTTAATCCTCCAGGAACTCTGAATAATTCTCATTTTTTTCTATTCTACACTCAGATTTATTGAATTTCCTGTTCGATTCGTATTACAAATATGGCAATTTCCGGTTGTGGATTGGTTACTTTCCCAATATTGTGGTTACGGATAACAAGGATATGGAGGTAGGTAAATATTATACATTATAATTATTTATGCAACTAATATAACCTCCCTCATTTCCTCAGTACATCCTCTGCAGCAATAGCCTCATCGACAAATCTGATATGTATGATATATTGAAAATCTGGCTGGGAGAAGGTCTGGTCAATAGCAACGGATCGAAATGGCATAAACGTCGTAAAATGATCACGCCATCATTTCATTTTAAAATTTTACAAGATTTCCATATTACGATGACGGCAAATGCTGGGAAATTTGCCGAAAAGTTGAAAGAAGTTTCGCGAGATGGTGCGGCATTTGATTTTCAAAAATTGGTTCATAATTTGACATTGGATGTTATGTGTGGTAGGTCGGAGGACCCTTCGAAGGTTGATCTAAATTAAAGTGGTATTTTTATTTTCCAGAAACGGCCATGGGTGTACCCATCAATGCTATGGATAATCCGCATTCTGATTTTGTGAAGGCATTGGATTTGTAAGTTTTCGAAAACCTATTCAGACCTTTATAAAGTTCCGGACGTATTATTTGCACGTCAGCAGTATTACATATTATAAACTCGGACCTCTCCAAAGATATTTATCACATATTCGGACGACTATTAATATTATACCCATTTTCGGACCTGTATACCACCACTCATATCTCTATAAACTTCCGCACCATCTGTTCAGACCTCTGTAAGACTGTTGACCTTTGACCTAAACAATTATTTTTTTTCCAGTATTACAGAAATCTGCCTGATGCGAATGTTCAATCCGATTAAGCGTAACATGAACATCTATCAATTCTTTCCGGAATGTAAGAAGTTACACAAGGCTGTGGATGTTTTCAAGGGTTTTACCTACAATGTAAGTAGCCTAATGTTCGAATCTCAATTTCTCAATAGAGCTACGTAGTTTCTAAATACATAGATCTATCTTGAGCTCATCTTTAACTAGACAGACCTTTAGCGGTCTCCACATCACATATTCGGACTTCTGCACAGTCTCTCCTTACCTACACAGACCTCTAGTGGCCTTCTCATCACTTATTTGGTCCTCACCTACCTAGTGACACCCTCATTAACTGATCGAACCTCTATAGAGCTACTCAACACCAATATGGATCTTTATAGAGCTCCTCAATACCTATTTCGACTTCAAATTAACTCTTCATAACCTGTTCGGACATCTTTAAGGCTCCTCATTATACCCTTCACCACACTGTGGTACAGGGTATTATGTCTTTGTGCATATGTTTGTAACAGGCAAAAATAATCGAGATAGACACATGGTTCCTTTTGAGAATATGCATAGAATCACTTTCTAAGTCGATTTATGCATGTCCGTCCGTCCGTCCGTCCGTCTGTCCGTCTGTCCGTCTGTCCGTCTGTCTGTCCATGTTAAATTGTAAACAAAGTACAGGCCGCATTTATTATCCGAATTGGATGAAAATTGGTATAGGTCACTTATTCGGCCCAAGGACGAACCCTATTGAAATTGGGAAAAATCGGTTCAGATTTAGATATAGCTCCCATATATATATATTTAACCGATTTAATGTAAACGATCCCTATATATCTTTCGATTTGCACGAAATTTGGTACAGCCTAATCATTTAGGTCTAGAATGATGTCTGCCAATTTTCGTGAAAATCGGTCCAGATTTAGATATAGCTCCCATATATAGTTTCGTCCGATTTCATGTAAATGGTGCACCAAAATCCCTATATATCCTTCGATTTGCACCAAATTTGGCATAACGTACTGAATTGAGCCTAGAATTATGTCTGCCAAGTTTCGTGAAAATCGGTCCAGATTTATATATAGCTCCCATATATATTTTCGTCCGATTTCATGTAAATGGTGCACCAAAGTCCCTATATATCCTTCGATTTGCACCAAATTTGGCATAACGTACTGAATTGAGCCTAGAATTATGTTTGCCAAGTTTCGTGAAAATCGGTCCAGATTTATATATAGCTCCCATATATAGTTTCGTCCGATTTCATGTAACTGGTGCACCAAAGTCGCTATATACCTTTCGATTTCCACGAAATTTGGCATAACGTACTGAGTTGAGCCTAGAGTCATGTCTGCCAAGTTTTGAGAAAATCGGTTCAGATTTAGATATACCTCCCATATATAGTTTCGTCCGATTTAATGTAAATGGTGCCCCAAAGTCCCTATATATTTTTCGATTTGCACGAAATTTGGCATAACCTACTGAATTAAGCCTAGAGTTATATCTGCCAAGTTTCGAGAAAATCGGTCCAGATTTCTATATAGCTCCCATATATAGTTTCGTCCGATTTCATGTAACTGGTGCACCAAAGTCGCTATATACCTTTCGATTTGCACGAAATTTGGCATAACGTACTGAGTTGAGCCTAGAGTCATGTCTGCCAAGTTTTGAGAAAATCGGTTCAGATTTAGATATACCTCCCATATATAGTTTCGTCCGATTTAATGTAAATGGTGCACCAAAGTCCCTATATATCCTTCGATATGCAAGAGATTTAGCATAACGTACTGAATTAAGCATAGAGTGATGTCTGCCAAGTTTCAAGAAAATCGGTCCAGATTTATATATAGCTCCCATATATAGTTTCGTCCGACTTCATGTAAATGGTGCACCAAAGTCCCTATATATCCTTCGATTTGCAAGAGATTTGCCATAACGTACTGAAATGAGCCTAGAGTGATATCTGCCAAGTTTCGAGAAAATCGGTCCAGATTTCTATATAGCTCCCATATATAGTTTCGTCCGATTTCATGTAAATGGTGCACCAAAGTCGCTATATACCTTTCGATTTGCACGAAATGTGGCATAACGTACTGAATTGAGCCTAGAGTTATGTCTGTTTTTTTCGTGAAAATCGGTCCAGATTTATATATAGCTCCCTTTTATTATAGATTGATTTTAAGTAATTGACGCACCAAGGAACCAATAGGCTGATAGGAACAAAACTTTCTGAAATTAGAACAACCTATCCTGTGAACAACCTAACGCTTAATATTTGGATAGAGCTTCCATATATATTTTCCCCCGGTTTCAAGTAAATTGGGCATCAAACTCCTCATGTTAGTCAGATTGACATCAAATTTTGCACAACTTACAAAATTTAGCATAGAATTACGTAGTTGCGTTTTCTAGAAGTACAGACATAGCCCAACGGATGACCTATTTATATTTGTTTGAAGTCGATTTACATACTTTATGGATATATCTAGGTAGATTCACATTTAAATAAATATCAACTATTTTAGTTCATCCAATTTGATTTTAATGGTCCTGTTGAATACACCCAAAGTGGTGAAGGGTATCATAAAGTCGGCCCCGTCCGACTTTACTACTTTCCTTACTGGTTTTTTATTTGGGATACCTATGGTTCCTCATTACCTCTTACCAACAACCAGCAACCCTCTCATCAGCTATCTGATCCTCTGTTCGGGAATATTAAAAATTCCATCGCTTCTTCGCACCTCTAGTGGGCGCTTCATCATCTGTTCTGAAAGCCTCTACAGAGCTCCTCCTTACCTACTCAGACCTCTAGTGACTTACTAATCAGCTGTTCGAACTTCAGCAGAACTCCTCCATACTAACTAAGGCTCCAAAGAAACTCTTCATTTCCCTTTTGGACTCTTCATCATTGCGTATTTGGAAAATTAAAAGTTCCGCTTTATGTACTCAAAACAGCTAGCGACCTCCTCCTTGCCTACTCAGGCCTCTGGAGGACTCATCATCGCCAGTTCGGACCATTTGAAAGCTCCTTCTTACTCATTCAGACTTCAAGGGAACTCTTCCTGAAATATAAGTAGTTTCGCCTTACCTAGTCAGACCTGGTGCGATCTCCTCATCGTCTATTCAAATCTCTAGAAGACTTTTCAATACCTACAAGGATCACTTGTTCGGACCTCTATACAGCTCATCAATATGTGTTCTGTCCTCTATAGAGCTTTATAAAGCACCTCAGTACCTACAATGGTTTCAAGCTAGTTCCGCATCACCTGTTCGGACCTATAGTAACCTTTTCCTCACCTGTTCTGACCCTTACTGGGCTCCTTCTTACCTATTCAGACCCCTATATATATTCTATTGGCCTCCTCATCGCCTGTTCGGACCTCTATAGGGCTTCTCAATACCTGTTATGGTCTCTAAAGATCTCGTCAATACCTTCTTGGACCTCTGTAGGTATCCTCATGACTTGTTCGAACCTTTATAACAGCCCTTCAATATGCCTATTAAGACCTCTATTGGCCTCCTCCTCGCCTGTTCGTACATTTATAGAGTTTTTCAATATATGTTCTGGTCTATAAAGATCTCGTTATAATAAGCTGTTTGAAGCTCTACAGAGCTCGTCAAGTTTTTCGTTCCCTAAAAAATCAACGTTTATGATTATACACTGCACTCAGTTCCCATATCCTTATTATTCGATTCCAGATTATCGAAAAACGCATGCAAATGCGTTTGGGGCAAAATCTCCCCGACAGCTCAACAGAATCTCATGATGTATTTACAAAACATCGACATGCCTTTTTAGATACGATGCTCTCGGCCAACATTGATGGACGTCCATTGACCCCTGAAGAGATCTACGAAGAGGTTTCCACATTTATGTTTGCGGTAACTATAAGGGCCAATATTTTTATGAAATTGTAATAAATAATTTTTATTTTTTAGGGTCAAGATACCACCAGTTCCGCCTTGACTTTTGCCGTATTTCTTCTTTCCCGCCACCCTGACGTGCAAAAGAAAGTTTTCGAAGAACAAAAACGAATTATGTTTGATGACTTACAGCGTGATGCTACTTTTCAGGAGCTGAGCGAAATGAAATATATGGATATGGTACTAAAGGAGACCCTGAGGATTTATCCCAGTGTGCCACTGGTGGCCCGTGCTGTACAGGAGGATATTACCATGAGTAAGTTTGAGATTAAAAAATATTAAAAATTAGTTCATTCATAATTGAGGTCTAGAGAATTATAATTTCTCTCCCTCTCTCTCTTGAAAACTCTCAATTGAGAATTTTTCCGATGAAAGAACATTTGAAATAATCTCCTCTCTAATAATCCTCTCCTCTCTCTTCTCTTCTATTTCAGACGGCAAATTCGTACCCAAAGGCACCACTTTACTTCTCTTCCTCATGTCATTGGGCTACAATGAACGTAACTTCCCCGATCCCTATCGCTTTGATCCAGAGCGTTTCAACAGCCTTCATGAACGTGCCAGTGGCTACAATCCCTTTGAGAGTGTGCCCTTCAGTGCTGGTCCACGAAATTGTGTGGGCCAGAAATATGCAATTTTGGAATTTAAAACCGTGCTCTCGAAAATTGTTCGGCAATTTGAAATGCTGCCTGCAATGGATGAATTGGTATCGCAGGATGGTTATGTTTCGACCTATTTTGGACCCCATAAGAAATTGGGGAGCGGGAGAGCATCTCAATATGAACCGATATTGTCAACCGTTTTAACCCTTAAATCTGCAAATGGGGTTTATATACGTTTAAAGGAGAGAAAATAAAATGAATAAACATAATTAAATTCGGAAGTTTTTTATTCAATTAATTTTAGAAATATTTTTCAAAAATATTCAACAGATTTCCATCCTAATAGACGTCGCATTTTTGAAGGACCATTAACATGAAATTAAATATGTCATTCTGCAACCTAAATTTTGGTCAGATATACAGTTGCTTCTAACAATGGGACACAATTATGTAAATAAATTTAAAGCAAAATATTGAAATGTATAAATCCAAATCCAAATAAATATAAATCCAAATTTCGTGCAAATCGATGGACATATAGGGACTTTGGTGCACCATTTACATGAAATCGGACGAAAATATATAGCTCCCATATATACTTTCTTCCGAAAAAATCTGAGCGGATTTTCACGAAATTTAACACATATCTTTCTAGACTTTATTCAGTACGCTGTGCCAAATTTCGTGGAAATCCAGGGATATATAGGGACTTTGGTGCACAATTTACATAAAATCGGACGAAAATATATATGGGGGCTATATCTAAATCTGAACCGATTTTCACGAAATTTAACACATATCGTTCTAGACTTAATTCAGTGCGATGTGCCAAATTTCCGGCAAATCGAAAGATTTTTAGGGACTTTGGTGCACCATTTACCTTAAATCGGACGAAACTTTATATGGGAGATATATCTAAAAATGATCCGATTTTCACGAAATTGAACACACATCATTATGAACCTAATTGAATACCCTTTGCCAAATTTCGTTCAAATCGAAAGATATATAGGGACTTTGGTGGACCATTTACAGAAAATCGGCCGAAAATATATACGGGAGCTATAGCTAAATGTGAACCGATTTTCACGAAACTTAACACACATCATTCTAGGCTCAATTCAGTACGCTGTGCCATATTTCGTGCAAATCGAAAGATATATAGGGATTTGGTACACTATTTACATAAAATCGGACGAAAATATATATAGGAGCTATATCTAAATCTGAGCCGATTTTCACGAAATTTAACACACATCTTTCCAGACATAATTCAGAACGCTATGCCAAATTTCATGCAAATCGAAGGATATATAGTGACTTTGGTGCATCATTAACCTTAAATCGGACGAAAATATATATGGGAGCTATATCAAAATCTGAACCGATATTCACGAAATTTAACACACATCTTTCTAGACCCAATTCATTACGTTATGTCATATTTCGTGCAAATCGAAAGATATATAGGGACTTTGGTGCCACATTTATCTTAAATCGGACGAAACTCTATATGGGAGCTATATCTAAATCTGAACCGATTTTTACGAAACTTAACACACATCATTCTAGGCTCAATTCAGTACGCTGAGCCATATTTCGTGCAAATCGAAAGATCTTTAGGGACTTTGGTGCACCATTTACGTTAAATCGGACGAAAATATACATGGGAGCTACATGTAAATCTGAACCGATTTTCACGAAACTTAGCACACATCATTCTGGACCTAATTCAATACCCTTTGCCAAATTTCGTGCAAATCGAAAGATATTTAGGGACTTTGGTGCACCATTTACTTTAAATCGGACGAAAATATATATGGGAGCTATATCGAAATCGGATCCTATTTTGATGAAACTAAACACACATCATTCTAGGCTCAATTCAGTACACTATGCAAATTTTGGTGGAAATCGAATGATATATAAGTATTTTGGTGCACCATTTCCTTAAATCGGACGAAACTATATATGGGAGCTATATCTAAAAATGAACCGATTTTCACGAAACTTAACACACATCATTATAGGCTTAATTCAGTACGCTGTGCCAAATTTCGTGAAAATCGTGCAAAGACATTTAGGGACTTTGGTGCACCTTATATCGGATGAAAATATATATGGGAGCTATATCTAAATCTGAACCAATTTTTCCCAATTTCGATAGGGTTCGACCTTGGGCCAAATGAATGAGCTGTGCCAAATTTCATCCAATTCGAATAATAAATGCGACCTGTACTTTGTTTAAAATTTAACATGGACGGACGGGCAGACGGACGGACATGCATAAATCGACTTAGAAAGTGATTATATGCATATTCTCAAAAGGAACTATGGGTCTATCTCGTTTCTTTTTGCCTGTAACAAATATATGCACAAAGACATAATAACCTGTACTACAGTGTGGTGAAGGGTATACAAATCCACGCCTTGGATGGCTACTTAAAAAAATATTTTTAAAACATCCTCTTCCCTATGATTTCATTATTGAACCCTTTATAGAAATTGCGACCCTCGTATATACAAATTCGAACATTGTTTTGCAAAATTCAAAACAATAACATTTGTTTTTTTGTTTCAGATAGTCAACTCCAAAGATGTTCAATGTTCAGTGCAACTCTCCCTCTTTCTCTCTTACGATCGCTCATTCATTTTCATTGCCTCTCTCTCTCTCTCTCTCTCTCTGTATGAAAGTGGCACTCGCCTTATCATTTCAGAAACAAGTTCATTTAAAAATTGACAGAATGTAACAATTTTATTGTATAATATTTGTTAAACAATTTGAAACGAGAATTAATAGAACGTCAAGTACGCTGCCGCAAGCAGCTCACGGAATAATAAAAAGTGTTTTTTTTTTCTAAATAAAAATATTTCAATCAAATATTGAAAATGTTCCTGTTGCTGATATTAATATCGTTCCTTTTACTGGTTGTCTATAAGGAATTTAAATATTCTGGAGTTCGTAAACAAATCGCCCACACCAAGGGTCCACCAATGTTGCCCTTTATCGGCAATGCTCATCAGTTGGGAAAATCTCCAATAGGTAATTAGAAAAAAATCGAAATTAAAAAAATAAATTTTAAATTTGGAGTAGTCCATACACTGAAGGTTTTGGGCTCATCCATGGCCCTTTGGGCTAGGTTCTCGTTAATGAAAAAAATAAATTGAAATATCTGAGATCCCATTTTTAAGAGAACAACAACAATAACAAATATTTTTTTGTTGTGTAAGGTCACGACATCCCTTGTTTGTATTTAAAAACTTAACAATAACAAAAATAATTATTTTTTAATGGAGATTAGTTTAATCTGTTTACAGGGTTTAAAGGGCACTGAGCATAGCTCCGCTAATGGACTATTTTTTTCAAGTAGATGTCATCGCTAATTAATATTTAATTAAGAGATTTGTAAATGCGATTTATTTTAATCAATATTAAAATCTCTAGCGTCAATTCAAAAACTTTCATTATTTTTAATATTTTCACATATTTTCAGAACACTTTTGTTAGAGGTGAACCACAACAACAGCAAATACATAACGGCTAATCTATGACAAGATTATAACTGTAAACATCTATAATTGGATGTTTATAAAAAAAGTTGACTTGACCGATAATTAGAAGGCACGCGAATTAACTGAGGCTAGAATATTGAAATAGAATATGAGAATTATTTTATTTTAAAAAAAATTTTTGCCAGCAGTAGCTAACTTAGGCGTGGATTTTTTAAAAATATTTTTTCAAGTAGCTAACTTGGGCGTGGATTTTTATTCCCTTCACCATACTGTGATACAGGTTATTATGTATTTGTGCATATGTTTGTAACAGGCAAAAAGAATCGAAATGGACCCATGGTTCCTTTTGAGAATATGCATAGAATCACTTTTATACATGTCCGTCCGCCGGTCCATGTTAAATTGTAAACAAAGAACAGGTCGCATTTTTGATTCGAATTGGATGAAATTTGGCACAGCTCATTTATTTGACCCAACGGCGAAACCTATTGAAATTAGGAAAAATCGGTTCAGATTTAGATATAGCTCCCATATATACTTTCGTCCGATTTAATGTAAATGGTGTACCAAAGTCCCTATATATTCTTCGATTTGCACGAAATTTGGCACTGCGTACTGAATTAAGCCTAGAATGATGTTTGATAAGTTTCGTGAAAATCGGTTCAGATTTCGATATAGCTCCCACATACATTTTCGTCCGATTTAACCGATTCCACCAAAGACCCTACGATTGGCATGAAATTTGGCATAGCCTACTGAATTAAGTCTACAACGATGTGTGTTAAATTTCGTGAAAATCGGTTCAGATTTAGATATAGCTCCCATATATATATTCGTCCGATTTAAGGTAAATGGTGCACCAATATCCACATATATCTTTCGATTTGCACGAAATTTGGCACAGGCTACCGAATTAGGTCCAGAATGATGTGTGCTAAGTTTCGTGAAAATCGGTTCAGATTAGATATATGTATATATATATATATATCCGATTATATTTAAATGGTGCACCAAAGTCCCTATATACCATTTGATCTGCACAAAATTTGGCATAGCGTACTGAATTGGATCTAGAATGATGTTTGCAACGTTTCGTGAAAATCGGTTAAGATTTAGATATAGGTGGCATATATATTTTCGTCCGATTTAATGTAAATAGTGCATCAAAGTCCCTATATATCTTTCGATTTGCACGAAATTTGGCATAGAGTACTGAATTAAGCCTAGAATGATGTGTGTTAAGTTTCGTGAAAATCGGTTAAGATTTAGATATAGCTGGCATATATATTTCCATCCGATTATATGTAAATAGTGCACCAAAGCCCCTTTATGTCCTTCGATTTGCTCGAAATTTTACATAGCGTAATGAATCGAGTCCAGAATGATGTGTGCAAAGTTTCGCGAAAATCGGTTCAGATTTAGACATAGCTCCCATATATATTTTCGTCCGATTTTAGGTAAATAGTGCACCAAAGTCCCTTTATATCCTTCGATTTGCACGAAATTTGGCATAGCGTACTGAATTGAGTTTAGAACAATGTGTGTTAAATTTCGTGAAAATCGGTAAAGATATCGATGTAGCTCCCATATATATTTTCATCCGATTTAAAGGAAATGGTACACCAAAGTCCCTATATACCATTCGATCTGCACGAAATTTGGCATATCGCACTGAATTGAATCTAGAATGATGTTTGCAAAGTATCGTGGAAATCGGTCCAGATTTCGATATAGCTCCCATATATATTTTCATCCGATTCTATGTAAATGGGTTACCAAAGTCCCTATATATCTTTCGATTTGCACGAAATTTCACACAGCGTACTGTATTCAGCCTAGAATGATGTGTGTTATGTTTCGTGAAAATCGGTTAAGATTTAGATATAGCTGGCATATATATTTTCGTCCGATTTAATGTAAATGGTGCACCTAAGTCGCTATATATCCTTCGATTTACACTAAATTTGCCACAGCGTAATGAATTAGGTCTAGACTGATGTGTGTTAAATTTCGTGAAAATCGGTTCAGATTTAGATATAGCTCCCATATATATTTTCCTCCGATTTAAGGTAAATAGTGCACCAAAGTCCCTATATATCTTTCAATATGCACGAAATTTGGCATAGTATACTGAAATAAGTCTGTAGCGATATGTGTTATGTTTCGTGAAAATCGGTTCAGATATCGATATAGCTCCCATATATATTTTCATCCGATTTAAAGGAAATGGTGCACCAAAGTCCCTATATACCATTCGATCTGCACGATCTATTTGGCATAGCGTACTGAATTGAATCTAGAATGGTGTTTGCAAAGTTTCGTGAAAATCGGTTCAGATTTAGATATAGCTCCCATATATATTTTCGTCCGATTTTAGGTAAATGGTGCACTAAAGACCCTATAAATTCTCCGATTTGCATTCAATTTGGCATAGAGTTCTAAAATGGGTCAAAAATGGTGTGAGTTTCGTGAAAATCGGTTCAGATTTAGATATAGCTCCCATATATAGTTTTGTCCGATTTGCATGAAATTTTGTAAGGATACATATGACATATTTTCGACCCAGTCCGACTTTACTACTTTTCTTGGTTTAAAACTATTTTTCCAAGTAGTCACCAAATCGTGGATTTCTTAAAAATATTTTTCAATAGGCTTCCTTTCTGTTCCGCTGTGAGTACCTATATTTGAATATGACGCACTTAGATATAGAATAGCTGAAGCCAGGTCAGAACCTGTTTCTTGTTTTTGTATAATGCATTTAATTATATTTATTATTAAATTATATTTGTTTAAACATTTTAAGTATGACAGGTATTTTTAATGGGAACACTAACACGTGTCTTCAAATATGGGATGGGTCGTCGAACCTAGAAGAGAACAAATTTAGTATTTCTAATTATTATTTCTAATAGATAAATATTTTTATTTATATATATTAATATTTTTAAACTATTGCTTTATGATATTTTTTCTAGCTACCGTCCATTTCATGTTTGAAAATTTTTATAAATATGGTAATTTTCGGGCCTGGATTGGTTACTATCTATATCTCATTATATCGGAACCGGAAGATGTGGAGGTGAGTTACCGTCCCTTCCCAATAAAAATAATAAATAATATTCCTCCAAAAAATGTTCTTCCCTCTTTAGTACGTCTTAGCCAGCACCGATTTAATTGGCAAATCCGATGTCTACGACATGATGCACCCCTGGCTTGGTGATGGCCTGCTGACGAGCAAAGGCAGCAAATGGCATAAACATCGTAAAATGATCACTCCATCATTTCATTTTAAAATTTTACAAGATTTCCATGAGGTTATGAATACGAATTCCAGTAAATTTATTGAAAAGCTGAGAGAGGTGTCTCAGGGTGATAACATATTCGATTTTCAGGGAATGGTCAACTATTTGACATTGGATGTTATTTGTGGTAAGGGGAAAGATGTTATTATTATAAAAAAATTAAAAAAAAATCATACTTGTTTCGGTTTCAGATACCGCCATGGGTGTTAACATCAATGCCATGGATAATCCCCATACCGAATTTGCCAAGGCTGTGGAATTGTAAGTCTGGTTGATATACAAAGGAATTAATTATCAAAAATATTTTTAATTTATTTTTCTAGTATTTGTTTGAACATAAACATGCGGGCTTTTAATCCATTGAAGCGGAAACATGCCACCTATCAGTTCTTCCCCGACTTCAAGGAGTACTGCAGGGCCCTGAAGGTTTTAAAGGAATTTACATATGATGTGAGTAGAAAATATTTTTAAAAAATCCACGCCTTTGGTAGCTACTTGAAAAAAAACCAGTAAGGAAAGTAGTAAAGTCGGACTGGCCCGACTATATGATGCCCTTCACCACTTTGGGCATATTCTAAATATGTATCCTAACAGACGTAGCTTGTTATTATTATAGACGTAATTCAGTATGTTATGCTAAATTTCGTGCAAATCGAAAGATATATAGGGTCTTTAGTGGACTATTTACCTAAAATCGGGCGAAACTATATATGGGACCTCTATCTAAATCTGAACCGATTTTCACGAAACTTTGCACACATCATTCTAGACTTAATTCAGTACGCTATGCCAAATTTCGTGCAAATCGAAAGATATATGGGGACTTTAGTGGACTATTTACCTAAAATCGGGCGAAACTATATATGGGAGCTCTATCTAAATCTGAACCGATTTTCACGAAACTTTGCACACATCATTCTAGACTTAATTCAGTACTCTATGCCAAATTTCGTGCAAATCGAAAGATATATAAGAACTTTGGTGCACCATTTACATGAAATCGGACGAAACTATATATGGGAGCTATATCTAAATCTGAAGCGATTTTCACGAAACTTGGCAGACATCATTCTAGGCTTAATTCAGTATGTTATGCCAAATTTCGTGGAAATCGAATGATATATAGGGACTTTGGTGCACCATTTACCTTAAATCGGACGAAACTATATATGGGAGCTATATCTAAATCTGAACCGATTTTCACGAAACTTGCCAGGCATCACTCTAGGCTCAATTCAGTACGTTATACCAAATTTCGTGCAAATCGACAGATATATAGGGACTTTGGTGCACCATTTACCTTAAATCGGACGAATATATATACGGGAGCTATATCTAAATCTGAACCGATTTTCACGAAACTTTGCACACATCATTCTAGACTTAATTTAGTACGCTATGCCAAATTTCGTGCAAATCGAAAGATATATAGGGACTTTAGTGGACTATTTACCTAAAATCGGGTGAAACTATATATGGGAGCTCTATCTAAATCTGAACCGATTTTCACGAAACTTTGCACACATCATTCTAGACTTAATTCAGTACGCTATGCCAAATTTCGTGCAAATCGGAAGATATATAAGAACTTTGGTGCACCATTTACATGAAATCGGACGAAACTATATATGGGAGCTATATCTAAATCTGAACCGATTTTCAGGAAACTTAACACACATCATTCTAGGCTTAATTCAGTATGTTATGCCAAATTTCGTGCAAATCGAAAGATATATAGGGACTTTGGGGCACCATTTACATGAAATCGGACGAAACTATATATGGGAGCTATATCTAAATCTGGACCGATTTTCACGAAACTTGCCAGGCATCACTCTAGGCTCTATTCAGTACGTTATACCAAATTTCGTGCAGATCGACAGATATATAGGGTCTTTGGTGCACCATTTACCTTAAATTGGACGAAAAAATATATGGGAGCTATATCTAAATCTGAACCGATTTTTTCCCAATTTCAATAGGGGTCGTCCTTGGTCCAAATAAGTGAGCTATGCCAAATTTCATCCAAATCGGATTATAAATGCGACCTGTACTTTGTTTACAATTTAACACCAACAGGCGGACAGACGGACCACGGACATGCATAAATCGACTCAGAAAGTGATTCTATGCATATTCTCAAAAGGAACTATGGGTCTATCTCGTTTCCTTTTCCCTGTTACAAACATATGCACAAAGACATAATACCCTGTACCACAGTGTGTTGAAGGGTATAAAAACAATTATAACCAGTGAGCGGAGTAGTATAGTCGGACGGGACCGACCATACGATACCCTACCGGATTTTTATTCCGAGTTTTCGGTCCACTTCATCCCAAAATTAATATCTAACCATCACCGAAGATTATGGGCGTTGTCCTTGACCAAAGCTGGAGCCTCGCCAATGTTGAACCCTTGAAAAAATATTAAAATTTTTTTCTTTTTTAGGTTATCCAAAAACGCATGGATCTCCGTAAGCGAGAGGAAGAAGAAGCTGTCAAACGTAAAATAAGCACTGACAAATTTGATGGGGATTTCAAAAAACCCAAAATGGCATTCTTGGATACTTTGCTTTCCTCCACGGTTGATGGTCGTCCCCTGACCATACAAGAGGTTTACGAAGAAGTCTCCACATTTATGTTCGAAGGACATGATACAACAACCTCGGCTTTGTCGTTTATAACATATCTTCTCTCTCGGCATCTAGGAGTACAAAGAAAAGTCTACGAGGAGCAGCGGGCAATAATGGGCGAAGATATGAAACGTAATGCCACCTTCCAGGAGATAAATGATATGAAATACTTAGATATGGTTATCAAGGAGTCCCTGCGTCTATATCCCAGTGTACCCATTGTGGGTAGACTTACCGATAAGGAATATAATATGAGTGGGTATTTTCAATCTTTTTTTAAAGGATTTTTTCATTAATGGCATTTTTATTTTTCCACCTCTAGATGGCAAAATCATACCCCCTGATACCTCAACCATGGTCTTCATTATGGCCTTGGGTTATAATGAGAAAACCTTTCCCGATCCCTATCGTTTTGATCCGGAACGTTTCTCCACCGCCAAGTATAATGATGACAAACATAATCCCTTCGATTATGTGCCGTTCAGCGCCGGGCCACGTAATTGCATTGGTCAAAAATTTGCTCTTCTAGAAATAAAGACGGCCATATCAAAAATCGTCCGACATTTTGAAATTTTACCAGCCCTGGATGAGTTGGAATCGAAGGATGGTTATGTGAGCAATTATCTTGGTCCGAATAGGGAAAAACGGCCGCAGCTACATAAATATGAACCACGATTGGCAATGGTCATAACATTGAAATCGGATAATGGTATTATGCTGAGAATGAGAGAGAGAGGAAATGAGAAATAAGTTAAGTTGTTGTTATTGTATATATATATATATATTTTTAAATTTAAATAAAAAATGTTTAAGAGAAATATTTTTTTGATTTTTTTAAAGAATGGTTAAATATTTTTTTCAATTAGATACTTTTGGCGTGGATTTTTATACCCTTCGCCACACTGTGGCAAGAGGAAAGGAGATAGACACATGGTTCCGTCAGTGGATGTTAAATTGTAAACAAAGTACAGATCGCATTTATGATCCGATTTGGATGAAATTTGGCACAGCTAACTTATTTGGCTCAAGGACGAACCCTATTGAAATTGGGAAAAATCGGTTCAGATTTAGATATAGCTCCCGTATATAGTTTCGTTCGATTTATGGTAAATGGGGTACCAAGGTCCCTATATATCTTTCGATTTGCACGAAATTTGACATACCATAATAAATTAGGTCTAGAATGATGTGTGTCAAGTTTCCTGAAAATTGGTCCAGATTTAGATATAGCTCCTATATACTTTCGTCCGATTTTATGTAAATGATGCATCAAAGTGCCTATTTATCTTTCGATTTGAAATTTGGCATATAGTTCTGAATTAGGTCCAGAATGATGTGTGCAAGTGGTTGCGTGAAAATCGGTTCAGATTTAGATATAGTTCCTATATATATTTACGTCCGACTTAAAGGTAAAAGGTGCTCCAAAGTCCCTATGTGTCTTTCGATTTGCACGAAATTTGGCACAGCGTAATGAATTAGGTCTAGAATGATGTGCGTTAAGTTTCGTAAAAATCGGTTCAGATTAAGATATAGCTCCTATATATATTTTCGTCTGATTTAAGATAAATGGGGCACTAAAGTTCTTACATATCTTTCAATTTGCACTAAATTTGGCACAGCGTACTAAATTAAGTCTTGAAGGATGCCTGTTAAATTCTGTGAAAATCGGTTCAGATTTAGATATAGCTCCCATATATATTTTCGCCCGATTGAAGGTAAATGGGGCACCAAAGTCCCTATATATCTTTTGATTCGCACGAAATTTGGCACAGAGTACTGAATGACGTCCAGAATGACGTGTGTTAAGTTTCGAGAAAATCGGTTCTGATTTGGATATAGCTCCCATATATATTTTCGTCCGATTTGAGGTAAACGGTGCACCAAAGACCAATATATCTTTCGATTTACAGGAAATTTGGCATAGCGTAATGAATTGAGTATAGAATGATGTATGTTAAATTTCGTAAAAGTCCAGATTTAGTCCAGATTTAGATATAGCTCCCATATATATATATATATATATATATATTTTCGTCCGAATTAATGTAAAGGGTGCTCCAAAGCCCCTATATATCTTTCGATTTGCACGACATTTTGCGTAGAACACTGAATTGTGTCTAGAATGATGTGTGTAAAATTTCGAGAAAATCGGTTCAGATTTAGATATAACTCCTATATATATTTACGTCCGATTTAATGTAAATGGTGCACCAAAGTCCCTATATATACTTCGATGTGCACGACATTTGGCAAGGGTACTGAATTGAGGCTAAAATGATGTGTTTCAAGTTTCGTAAAAATCGGGTAAGATTTAGATATATCTCCTATATATATTTACGTCCGATTTAAGGTAAATAGGGCACCAAAGTCCCTATATATTATTCGATTTACACGAAATTTGGGATAGCGTGTTAAATTAAGTCTAGAAAGATGTGGGTTAAATTTCGTGAAAATCGTTGAGATTTAGATATAGCTCCCATATATATTTTCGTCCGATTTTATGTAAATGGTGCACTAAAGTCCCTATATATCCTTCGATTTGCACGAAATTTGGCATAGCGTACTGAACTAGGTCCAAAATAATATGTGCTAAGTTTTGAGAAAATCGGTTCAGATTTAGATATAGCTCCCATATATAGTTTTGTCCGATTTTATGTAAATGGTGCTCCAAAGTCCCTATGTATCTTTCGATTTGCACGAAATTTGGCATAGCGTACTGAATTAGGTCCAGAATGACGTGTGTTAAATTTCGAGGAAATCGGTTCAGATATTGATATAGCTCCCATATATATTTCGGTCCGATTTAATGTAAATAGTGCATCAAAGTCCCTATATATCATTCGATTTGTACAATATTTGGCATAGCGTACTGAATTAAGTCTAGAAAGATGTGTGTCAAATTTCGAGAAAATCGGTTCAGATTTAGATATTGCTCCTATATATATTTACGTCCGATTTAAAGGTAAATGGGGCACCAAAGTTCCTATATACCTTTCGATTTGCACGAAATTTGGCATAGGGTACTGAATTAGGGCCAGCATGATGTGTGCAAAGGTTGCGTGAAAATCGGTTCAGGTTCAGATATAGCTCCCATATATATTCGACCGATTTAATGTAAATGGTGCTCCAATGCCCCTATATATCTTTCGATTAGCACGAAATTTTGCGTAGTATATTGAAATGTGTCTAGAATGATGTGTGTCAAATTTCGAGAAAGTCGGTTCAGATTTAGATATAGCTCCTATATATTTACGTCCGATTTAAGGTAAATGGGTCACCAAAGTTTTTCGATTTACACGAAATTTGGGATAACGTGTTAAATTAAGTCTAGAAAGATGTGGGTTAAATTTCGTGAAAATCGGTTTAAATTTAGATATAGCTACCATATATATTTTCGTCCGATCTTGAATTATGTGTGCCAAGTTTCGTTAAAATCGGTTCAGATTTAGATATAGCTCCCACATATATTTTCCTCCGATTTATGGTAAATGGTGCATCAAAATCCCTATATATCTTTCGATATGAGCGAAATTTTGCATGGTGTACTCAATTGAGAATAGAATGTCGTGTGCCAAATTTCGTGAAAATCCGTTCAGATTTAGCTCCTATATATATATATATATATATATATATGTCAATGTTCCTTCGAAAAGGCGACGTCTGTTAGGATACATATGTAGAATATACCCAAAGTGTTGAAGGGTATCATATAGTCGGCCCAGTCCGACTGGTTTCGCAATATTTTTTTAAGTAGCTAAAATAGCCAACGATTTGATACCGACCATTTTGGTCAAAAAAGGTATACAAAAATATGGTAACTCTATTTGTTCCACTCTCTTTTCGCCACACACACAGAAGTCTCTTAAATGCAATCAAATATCATTTCCTTGATTCCAGTATAAATGTCTTCAGTAATTTCAAACTGAAGTTCATTAGTCTTGAGAGTGTTAAAGCGTAACGATCGTGACACGGTGACTGACAGCTCCGAGTGAGCATAGCAACAATAAAAACCCAAATAAATAGAATTCGAAATCTTTCTTTTCAAATAGATATTCAAAAAACACAAACATGTTTTTGTTGTTACTATTAGTATTATTGCCATTTTTGTGGATTGTGTATAAAGAACAATTCTATGCACGAAAACGCGAACAAATTTCCCATACTGGGGGTCCAAAGATGTTGCCCTTAATAGGAAATGCACATCAGTTGGGGAAAACACCGCACGGTAATGCAATTACAACTACAACAAAAACAACAACTGCAACTTACAATTGCTGATGTGAATTTCAATAATTATAGCTATTGTGAATTAATGATGATGCTTCGAAATTAGAACATGTGGTGTGGTGAACCGGATATTCGGGTTTCGACAAATTTACAATATTTCGAAAAGATAAAAAGTGGTACTTCTATATAAAAATTATTTATATGAAAAAATCAAATATTTTTTGTTTGGAACCGGTTTTTATTTTTTGTTAACCGGTTATTTGGTTTTGGAACTTTGAAAATGTGTGATTATTTGTCAATTTAAAGGTATTCTAATTCGTGAAAGAGTACACACCAACATCATAAAGTGGTTGTTAGGTTATAAAATCAACTGTTTCAAGTGTATTGAACCGATTATTCGGCTCATGATGTAAAAATAAAATGATTTTGATTTTAATTTACCAGATTTTATATCACAGTTTTTTTGTAATATTAATGTTATCATTACAATGATCTCTATAGCCAATTTTGGCGTAGAATTTGTCATTTGTGAACCGGGTTTTGGTAATAATTGGAACCGGATTTTCGGTTTTTATATTATAAACAATTTTAAAGACCTAAAAATAGATTTTTTATGTTTCAGAATGAAGCTTCATAAATATTTACTAAATTTTTCTTTGTAAATGATCCGGGTTCGATGTAAAACTGTAACCGGTTTCTATATTTTTAAGATATATTTGCATATTATATGGAAAAATATTAATATTGTCAATAAAATTTTCTTTATAGTCCATTTCGATGTAAAATTTTTCATTTGGGAACCGGTTTTTTGTACTATTCGGAACCGGGTTTTCGGTTTTTATATTACAAAAATGTTTAAAGGGATTACAAATTGAATTATTATGAGTCAATTGAATTATTATGTGAACCGGGTTTTGGTAATAATTGGAACCGGATTTTCGGTTTTTATATTATAAACAATTTTAAAAACCTAAAAATAGATTTTTTATGTTTCAGAATGAAGCTTCATAAATATTTACTAAATTTTTCTTTGTAAATGATTCGGGTTCGATGTAAAACTGTAACCGGTTTCTATATTTTTAAGATATATTTGCATATTATATGGAAAAATATTAATATTGTCAATAAAATTTTCTTTATAGTCCATTTCGATGTAAAATTTTTCATTTGGGAACCGGTTTTTTGTACTATTCGGAACCGGGTTTTCGGTTTTTATATTACAAAAATGTTTAAAGGGATTACAAATTGAATTATTATGAGTCAGAATGAAGTTTTATAAATATTTACTATATTTTTCTTTGAAAATTAACCGGGTTTGTTGTAAAACTGGAACCGGTTTCATTCTCTTTTAGACATATTTTATTATATTATATGAAAAATTATTCATATTATCATTCCAGTGGTCTTTATAGTCAATTTTGGCGAAGACTTTGTGATTTTGGAATCCGGATTACGTAATAATCGGAACCGGATTTTAGGTTTTTCAATACAAAAATTTGTTTAAAGCATAATAATTGATTTTTTTATGTGTCAGAATGAAGTGAAATAAATATTTATTATATTTTTCTTTGAAAATTAACCGGTTTTACGTCGAAAACTGAAACCGGTTTCTTCAGTTATTTTAAATTTTATAAATTATAGTTATTTAAAATCATTACAATTTCACTTATAAAAGTTTTGCAACAAATTTTTATTAAAATTGAACTAGGATTTCTTTAAAATTAAATCGGGTTTGTCTGAAAATCAAACCGGTTTTTTAATAATTATTAATTTTATTAAATATTCCTTAATAAAAATCTATGCCAATTAATTTATAATATTTTTTCAACGGATTTTTATTAATATAAAACGATATTTTCTATAAATTGGAACCGGATTTGTGTGATAATCAAACGGTTTTTTATTAATTGCAATGTCAAAAGGAGATCTTTGTTGAAAATTTTTAATAAATGATTTAAAAGAAATTTAACATGTATTTTATTTTTGACAATTTTTTATAAAAAAATATTATTAAATTGGAACTGGGATTTCTTTAAAATAGAATCGGTTTTGTGTGAAAATACAATCGGTTTTTCAGTTTTTTTTTCAGTTTTCATTAAATACAATTTAATAAAAATCTATATAAAATCATTTATAATATTTTTACAACGGATTATTGATATAAAATTGTGTGTTTCAATAAATTGGAGCCGGGTTTTGTGTTAAAATCTAACGGTTTTTATTAATTTTAATTTCAATAAGTGATTTTCTTTTTGAAAATTTTTAATAATAGATTAAAAATATTTTAAATGATTTTCGATTAATATTTTTTTGCAATATGGAACCGGTTTTTAAAAAAACTCAAACCGGTTTTTTGCAAACAAATGAACCGGATTTTAATTTTTTAGTTTTTAAAAATTTTTGTTAGCCAAATATAAATCGTTTTTGAAAATTTTTAATAATCGATTAAAAATATTTTAAATTACTTGTGATTAAATTTTTTTTTCAATATGGAACCGGTTTTTAAAAAAAAAACTCGAACCGGTTTTTTGTAAAAATATGAACCGGTTTTTTTATTTTTTACAAATTTTCTTTGGCCAAATCTAAAACGTTTTGGAATAAAATGTTAAAAAATTGTATTGCCAAATTTATGCGTTTTGCGTGCGGTAGCTGGTTAGCAATGGGGTTTCGTTGGAATTGAGCTCTGTGTCTCACTGGCATCGCATTACAATTTTTATTGTTTTGCCTTTTCTCTCCCTCTCTCTTTCTCTTGTTAGTTCATTAATGTTTACTAATGTCAATGTTTGAAATCATTTCTTTTTGTTGTGATTTTGTTTATAGCATTGTGTCGATCTGAATGCAATGTCCATTTCGAAAAACCGGTTTACTAGTTATTGTCTCAGTGCTTCTTCTTATGCATTAAACAAAAAAAAAAAAAAAAAACAAATCGTATTTTTGTGTTGTTGTGATTTTGGTTTTCTTTACCATTTCCTACAATGTCAATAAAATTTTTTTCGATTCGGTTTTGAAACAGTCTACTTCTGGAGAACAGAAATAGCTATTCATTGATAATCATAATTTAAGTACCAATTGCTTCGGGTTAAATAATATTCTAGATAAGATTATTTGTATAAAAAATTATTGAAATTAATGTATTATACACTGAAAGAAATTGGGGTCATATTTTAGCGGATTGAAAAAAATATTTTTAAAAAAATCCACCCAAGTCGGCTTTTTAAAATTTTTTTTTAAATCCACGCCTATGTTGGCTGCTTGAAAAAAATATTTTTTTAAAAATAATTAAGAATTGATTTCTATTTACTAAAAAAATAATATTTTTTTAATTTATTTTTGCAGATATTTTAAATTTTTTATTCGATAATTGTTACAAAAATAATTTTCAGAATTTTCGTGTATGGATTGGTTATTATCTGAATATTTTCGTAACAGAACCGCAAGATGTTGAGGTGGGTCGCAAAATTTAAATTAATACCCAATAATATAATATTTCCAACCTCTTCCCTTTTTCAGTTCATTTTGTCCAGCACCAGCCTGATTAAAAAATCCGATATCTATGAAATGACCTATGACTGGTTGGGCGATGGCTTGCTAACCGGTACCGGCCAGAAATGGCATAAAAATCGTAAAATCATAACACCGGCATTTCATTTTAAAATTTTGCAAGATTTCCATGATGTTATGAATAAAAATTCCAATTAATTCGTGGAGAAGCTGCGAGAGGCCAGCAAAGGGGATGCGATATTTGATTTTCAAAATATGGTCAATTATTTTACATTGGATGTTATTTGCGGTGTGGTTGGAAATATTTTTTTTCGAATTGGGGAAAATAAAAATAATGAAAAATGATTCATGTTTCAGATACTGCCATGGGTGTCTCCATAAATGCCATGGACAATCCGCATACGGAATTTGCCAAGGCTGTGGAATAGTGAGTAGGATTTTTTCAAATAATTTTTTTTGGGAAATTTTTAAAAAATATATATTTTTTTGTAGTAATGTGCCAACATCAACATGCGAGCCTTTCATCCTCTGAAACGTAGCAAGCTGACATATCAGTTCTTTCCGGAATACAAGGATTACTGCAAAGCCATAAAGACCTTAAAGGATTTTACATTTGATGTGAGTAAATATTTTTTTAAGTAATTAAAAATATTTTTAAAACAATTCAGTACGCTATGCCAAATTTCGAGAAAATTGACGGAAATGTTGAGGCTTTGGTGCACCATTTACATAGTATCGGACGAAAAAATATATGGGAGCTACATCGAAATCTGAACCGATCTTCACGAAATTTAACACACATCATTCTAGACTTAATTCAGTATGCTAGGCCAAATTTCGTGTAAATCGAATGATATATAGGGACATTGGTGCACTATTAACATAGAATCGGACGAAAATATATATGGGAGCTATATCTAAATCTGAACCGATTTCTACGAAATTTTACACGCATCATTCTAGACTTAATTTAGTACGTGAAGCCGAATTTCGTGCAAATCGAATGATATATAGGGACTTTGGTGCACTATTTACCTAAAATCGGACGAAAATATATATGGGAGCTATATCAAAATCTGACCCAATTTTCTCGAAACTTGGCACACATAATTCTAGCCTCAATTCAGTACGCTATGTCAAATTTCGTCCAAATCGAATGATATATAGGGACATTGGTGCACTATTTACCTATAATCGGACGAAAATATATATGGGAGCTATATCTAAATCTTAACCGATCTTCACAAAATTTAACACACATCATTCTAGCCTCAATTCAGTACACTATGCAAAATTTCGTGCAAATCGAAAGATATATAGGGTCTTTGGTACACCATTTACCATATATCGGACGAAAATATCTATGGGAGCTATATCTAAATTTGAACCGATTTTCCCGGAACTTATCACTCATAAATTCGGACTAAATTCAGTATGCTATGCCAAATTTCGTGCAAATCGAAAGATATATAGGGGCTTTGGTGCACTATTTACCTAAAATCGGACGAAAATATAGATGGGAGCAATATTTAAATCTGAACCGATTTTCCAGAAACTTAGCACTCATCATTTCAGACTCAATTCAGTACGCTATGACAAATTTCGTGCAAACCGAAAGATATATAGGGACTTTGGTGCACTATTTACCTAAAATCGGACGAAATTATATATGGGAGCTATATCTAAATTTGAACCGATTTTCCCGAAACTTACCAATCATAATTTAGGACTCCATTCAGTACGCTATGCCAAATTTCGTGCAAATCGAAGGAGATATAGGGACTTTGGTGCACTATTTACATACAATCGGAGGAAAATATATATGGGAGCTATATCTAAATCTGAACCGATTTCTACGAAATTTTACACACATCATTCTAGACTTAATTCAGTACGTGAAGCCGAATTTCGTGCAAATCGAAGAATATAAAGGGTCTTTGGTGCACCATTTACATAAAATCGGACAAAACTATATATGGGAGCTATATCTAAATCTGAACCGATTGTCACGAAACTTTGCATACATCATTCTGGACCTCATGCGAAACTCTATGCCAAATTTCATGCAAATCGAAAGATATATAGAGACTTTGGACAAATAGGGTTCGTCGTTGGGCCAAATAAGTGAGCTGTGCCAATATTCATCCAATTCGGATCATAATTACGAGCTGTACTTTGTTTACTATTTAACATGGACAGACAGACAGACATGCATAAATCGATTTAAAAAGTGATTCTATGCATATTCTCAAAAGGAACTATGGGTCCATCTCGTTTCCTTTTGCCTGTTACAAACATACGCACAAAGACATAATACCCTGTACCACAGTGTGGTGAAGGGTACAAAAACCACTCTTCGATTGTACCCCCCGAAAAAATATTAAAAAATCCATGCCAATGATTCCTTTTCGTTTTTCCCCTTTCAGGTCATTGAGAAGCGTGTCAAGCTCCATAAAGAACAAGAGTTCAACAAACTCAACGAAAATACCGCCGATGAATTCAACAAACCCAAGAGAGCCTTTTTGGATACCCTGCTCTCAGCCACGGTGGATAATAGACCCTTAACCACCCAAGAGCTATACGAAGAGGTGTCCACATTTATTTTTGCGGTAACTCCCAAAAAATCCCTATTGAAGAAAAAGTTTAATATTTGATTTATTTTAGGGTCACGACACCACCTCATCGGCCATATCTTTTGCCGTGTATCTTCTGTCACGCCATCTAGAGGTTCAAAGAAAAGTCTACGAAGAACAGCAGCGCATAATGGGAGAGAATCTCAAACGCAATGCCACATTTCAAGAAATTGCCGATATGAAATATTTAGATATGGTTCTGAGAGAGACGCTACGGTTATATCCCAGTGTGCCGGTTGTTGGTAGGCACACGGAAAAGGAGTATAATATGAGTAAGGAATTTTTTGAGGAAAAAATTAAGAGAAAAATTAATAATTCTTCATCTTCCATAGATGGCAAGCTCATACCCGAGGATACTTCGCTAAATATTTTCATTATGTCTTTGGGTTATAACGAGAAGACCTTCCCAGATCCCTATCGTTTTGATCCCGAAAGATTTGCCGCCGCTGTAGAGACTCACAAACCCTTTGAATTGGTACCCTTTAGTGCAGGGCTACGTAATTGTATTGGACAAAAATTTGCATTGCTCGAAGTAAAGACAGCTGTTTCGAAAATTGTTCGCAACTTTGAGATCTTGCCACCCTTGGATGAGTTAGCATCCCAAGATGGTTATGTTAGTAATTGGCTTGGTCCCCAGCGGGAACAGAGACCGAAATTACACAAATATGAACCAAAACTAGAAATGGTATTAACTTTGAAATCGGAAAATGGTATTTTGATACGATTGAGGGAAAGAAATTAGATTTATGGTGTTTGTGGCGTTACTAGAAATAAGTAAATTTGATTTATTTACGACAAAACTAAGAAATGAAACAAAATTTTGTAATTCTAATTATCCATCCCTGAAATAATATAACATAGGTGGTGGTCCGGGCTAAAAGATCTTAAGGTAAGTATTCCCTTGCAGTTTCAACAGTTATAATAACCAATGTTAAAGTATAAATTCATACACCCTAAAAGTATGCAACATATTGAGAAGAAACATGTATTTGCAAGATAACAGGGCGACTCAAAAAAATATTTAAAAGTGCATATTTGTAGTAAAGCCCAGCAAGAAATAAAAAATATATATATTTTAATAACATGGGAGCTTTATCTAAAATTGAACCGATATTCATGAAACTTACCACACAACACTCTAGGCTTAATGCAGTACGCTGTGCCAAATTTCGTGCAAATCGAAAGATATTTAGGGTCTTTGGTGCACCATTTACCTTAAATCGGATGAAAATATATATGGGAGCTATATCTAAATCTGAACCGATTCTCACGAAACTTAACACACATCATTCAAGGCTTAATTCAGTACGCTGTGCCAAATTTCGTGCAAACCGAAAGGTATATAGGGACTTTGGTGCAACACACATTTACCTAAAATTTCGTGTAAATCGAAAAAATATATATGGGAGCATATATATATATATATATAATCTATTTTTACGAAATTTAACACACATCATTCTAGGCTTAATTCTGTACGCTGTGCCAAATTTCGTAAAAATCGAAAGATATTTAGGGACTTTGGTGCACCATTTCCCTTAAATCGGATGAAAATATATATGGGCGCTATATCTAAATCTGAACCGATATTCACGAAACTTAGTACACGTCATTCTAGGCTTAATTCAGTAAGCTTTGTCAAATTTCGTGGAAATCGAAATATATTTAGGGACTTTGGAGCACCATTTACCATAAATCGTACGAAAATATATATGGGAGCTATATCTGAACCAATTTTTTTTAAAGTCCAGGTTGGAAAAAACATTTTTGTAGGTATTAAAGGGATTTCTTATTTATTTTTTTATAATATTAAACATATTTTTTTATATTTATATATTTTAGATTTCTTTAGTTATTTTGAAGAACCTTTAGCTCGGATTTCCAGAAATTTCTAAAACATTTCAGACTTTCACCAAAACTGTACCCACACCAGCTTCGGCCTTAAATTGACTGGGATTGATGACTTGTCTGTGAGAAACAAAAATAATAATAATAATTTTCCCCACCTTCTCCCACAAAAGCGCATTCCAACTTACCCATCAACATTGCTGGACTGAATCGAAGCGGTAATAACTTCAGCCTTCGAACCCATTTGGAAATATTGATTAATATCAATTGTTTGATCAGTTTTACCCAAATTCAAAACGACAACATATAGATCACTACCCTCCTTCTGACGCGAATAAATGACAATATCATCGCCAATGGCTTCGATATTTAATTCGCCATCCTGGAATGAGGGTTCTTTGCGTAATTTTGTCAATTTCTTAAAGATTTGCAAGTGGGATTGAGGAGCACGCAGTTGGGCCAAGGCATTGACGGTCACATAAGTATCGGAGACGGGTAGCCAGGTATGGTCGCCGCTGGTGAAACCTAAGGGGAAATGAGTGTAGGAAAAGAGGGGAAAAGTAGAATAATATTTAAAAAAAAAATCGGGCCTATTGTAGGAGCTTGAAAAATATTTAAAAAATCCCCGCCCATTAATTCCTTTTTCATGACTTACCTGCCATATTTGAGGCATCCCATTGATAGGGAGTACGAGCCGGATCTCTGGACAAACCATAGTAGGTCTGAGGATTGCCATTACAAGCCTGGGGATCCACAGAATCTTCCCAGCTAATATACACATCGGTCATGGCCAATTCTTCACCCTGAAAACAATCGAAAATAATTTTTAAATATTTTTAAAATTTCCCCCAACACCTCGGATTCTTCTCTTACTTACATTATAGGTCACAGCATTTCCAGGCAATGTCTGCAAGAGAATATTAAACAAATCCGCCCTATTAACACCCAACCTGGAGGCCACGCGTTTATTATCATGATTACCCAGCACCCAATTGGCACGAACATCCTTTGGCATGGCAGCCATCCATTTCTTGATATGCTCCACCATAACTCCAGCCGTCGTGGAATTGGAAACATTTGATAAGAAATCGAAATTAAATGGAATATGGGAACCATTCCTCTTGCCATCACCATAGAAACGTAAAATATTTTCGAAGCTGGTATAGGCCTCTGTCATTAGGATCCTGGTATCACCACCGTGCTCTTTTTTGAATTCATCGACAACAGCGCGCCATTGATAGGCCATATCGAAAGTTTCTGGACGATCCTGTGTATAAACATGTTTATAATGGCAATTATCTTCGGGATCGGGACAATCATTGTTATCGGCCAATTCTTCATCCGGGTAATTGTTGTCCGGACCCATTTCAACTTCAAACAAAAATGGCACTGCATCAATACGGAAGCCAGCCACACCCTTGGCCAACCAAAAACGTAGAACATTTTTCATTTCCTCCACCACTTTGGGATTGCGATAATTCAGATCGGGTTGTTTAATGGCGAATTGATGGAGATAATATTGTTGGCGTTTTTCACTCCATTGCCAGGCACTGTAGCGGAAAATACTCCTCCAGTTATTGGGTGGTTCGCGTTCTCCCGTTGTGGCATTCACCTTGCCATTATGCCATATATAGAAGTCACGATATTCTGGATCATTATTTTCCGATTTTATGAACCATTCATTTTCATCACTGGAGTGATTGGGTACGAAATCGAGAATAATTTTAATACCAACTTCTTTGGCTTTGCGTATCATATTTTCAAAATCTTCCATGGTACCATATTCCGGGTGGACTTGATAGAAATCGGAAATGTCATAACCAAAATCAGCCATGGGCGATTTGAATATGGGTGAAAGCCAGGTGGCAGTGAAACCCAAATCTTTGAGGTATTGTAGTTTTTCGGTGACACCTTGAGAAAAAGATTTCCTTCATAAAATTAAAAATTCCTCCTCTCTCCTCTCCACACCCTCCTACTTACCATTTAAATCACCAATACCATCACCATCGCTGTCACGAAATGATCGCGGATAGATTTGATAGAAATTGCCATTCTCCCACCAATCCTTGGCCAGTGTGGACGCCACCACCAATGTCAGCCCCAATAGTACTGCTGACAATCTCATTTTATTCCGCAAAATTGAATTATTAAACTAAAATCGAATATTTCATTTGCCTCCGAACCGAACACAACTGAAGTTCCCCTGATTCGTACAGTTGCTTTTATAATCAAAACAATGGTTCTGATTCAAAACTTTTGTGTTTAGATTTTTTTGTTTTTCATATCGAGTCTATTTTCCCTTCGAAATGATTGCTCACAGGTTTTTTATCGCCAACAAATCACAATTGTTTTGTCAACAAATGCATCACCGTTTTTGTTGTTGTTGTTGTGTGTGAGTTTTGGTATTAGTTGCTTTTCCCACTTCTGGAAAATTGTCATCGAAAATCTAATGCTCGAAATGATTACCTGTCGTGTGAAGAGTTGAAGAGAACTTCAAATGGAATAGGAAGGAGGGTATACAAATCGTAGGAAGCTAGGCTTGAAAAAAAAAAATTGAAAAATCCACACCTATGTTTCCACCTTGAAAAAAATATATGTTTAAATCAGTGAGCGGAGCAGTATAGTCGGACGGTGCCGACCATACGATACCCTACACAACAACCACGGAACTCTAACTTTCTGCTGATGTTTATTCCGAGCCTGGGCAATATTTCTAATATTTGCACCCTCATGCCGATTAGAGGTCAACAGCACCTCTTCCTTACACTGACATATTTTACTAATATTGAGTACAACCAGTGAGCGGAGCAGTATAGTCGGACGGTGCCGACCATACGATACCCTACACAACTACCACGGAACTCTAACTTTCTGCTGATGTTTATTCCGAGCCTGGGCAATATTTCTAATATTTACACCCTCTTGCCGATTAGAGGTCAACAGCACCTCTTCCTTACACTGATATATTTTACTTATATTCAGTACAACAAGTGAGCGGAGCAGTATAGTCGGACGGGGCCGACCATACGATAGCCTACACAACTACCACGGAACTCTAACTTTCTGCTGATGTTTATTCCGAGCCTGGGCAATATTTCTTTTGTCGATTCGAGGCCAACAGCGCCTCTTCCTTACACTGACATATATTACTAATATTCAGTACAACCACTCGGCCCACTCCATCCCATCTGATTATCACGGCCGTCTTCTACACCATAACTGAAACCTCACGAAAAATTGCAAAGCGACCAGCGCTATATTTCCGATATCTAGTGTGTAAATATTTAAGTGTAGCTCCCACATCCGAGTACAAACGACAATATAATTGGTATCAATATAATTGGTATCAGGTCAACTACTCCTCCTATCAACCTCTCGGGCCTATGTCCTTCAGGAGTAAATATATACGCCATAGAATAAAAATTTTGTAATTTTTCACACAAAAGTCTGGGTCCAATTGACCCGCTAAATATTGACAGATCTTTATCAAAACAGGCATGCTTATTCTTTGGCCCGATCCCCTTCTCTATGTAAAATTTCGCGATGTTTGGGGCATAATTGAGGCCTCAGGAGCGACCAGAAAAACCGACAAAAAATAAGTATTTGGTCCATTTCATCCCCTAAATATAAACCGATCTTTACTCAAAAAATAGGGGTCTTTATCCTGCATGCAAAATTTCGTGAAGATTGGCCTGTATTGTGTTTACAAATGTAAATGGACAGACGGACGGACGAACGGACACACATGTCTAAATCGGCTCAGCTAGTCGAGATATGATGATCGGTATACTTAAAGGTGGGTCTAGGACCAATATTTCGCGGCGTTACAAACGCTTGGGGCTGCACAAAGCTATAATACCCTGACAACATAGTTGTGTAGGCTATAAAAATCCACACCTATTTTGGCTGCTTACAAAATATTTTTAAAAAATCCATCTGCTTAAAAAATTTTTAACGTTGGGCGCCATTTTTAAATGTAACCATTTCTCTAAATTTTGAAGATTGGTCCATAAATGTGGCCTGTATCGTGTTTACAAATTATAATGGACAGACGGACGGACGAACGGACACACATGTCTAGATCGACTCAGCTAGTCGAGATATGACGATCGGTATACTTAAAGGTGGGCCTGGGACCAATATTTCGCGGCGTTACAAACGCTTGGGGCTGCACAAAGCTATAATACCCTGACAACATAGTTGTGTAGGCTATAAAAATCCACACCTATTTTGGCTGCTTACAAAATATTTTTAAAAAATCCATCTGCTTAAAAAATTTTTAACGTTGGGCGCCATTTTTAAATTTAGCCATTTCTCTGAATTGTTGTGTAGTGTATAAAATCCACGCCTATTTTGGCTGCTTACAAAATATTTTTTTAAAAAAATCCATCTGCTTAAAAAATATTTAACGTTGGGCGCCATTTTTAAATTTAGCCATTTCTCTGAATTTTTGTTGCCTATCTCGTTAAATTTTTTACATTTCAACAATTATCACAGCACTTTAGTCGAGTATGATTAATTATCGAATTGTTTTAGTTGTTGTTGCTTTTTCAAATATTAGTTTTTGAATTGAATATTTAACTCTTCTCCAACGCGTCAGATATCATAGTTGAGGCTATGCACTTGAATCGGGCAACGATTCAAGTGGCGATTGGTTATCAGTAATGGAGGAAATATTGTCATAGGTTTTGAACAATATTTACGGATGGTAAGGACCTGTGCTATGGATCGTCGAGGGGGAAGGGGGGGTTCGAAAATCTATTTTTTTCAATATGGACCACCAGGAACCTCTCTAAGGATGTTAAAAAATTTTCGTATTTTTTTCGTTTCAATATTTTGATTTATTTACAGGTTTTAAATATTTTTCAGTTCCCAAATTTTATTATTTTTCTATAATTATTTTTTTCAAATTTTTTAAACCTTACAGTTTTTGTTCGCGTCAGATATCATAGTTGAGGCTATGCACTTGAATCGGGCAACGAGTCAAGTGGCGATTGGTTATCAATAATGGAGGAAATATTGTCATAGGTTTTTAACAATATTTACGGATGGTAAGGACCTGTGTTCTAGATCATCGAGGGGGAAGGGGGGGTTCGAAAATCTATTTTTTTCAATATGGACCACCAGGAACCTCTCTAAGGATGTTAAAAAATTTTCGTATTTTTTTCGTTTCAATATTTTGATTTATTTACAGGTTTTAAATATTTTTCAGTTCCCAAATTTTATTATTTTTCTACAATTATTTTTTTTTAAATTTTTTAAACCTTACATTTTTTGTTCGGATTTTTTTAAACTTTCACCAAAACTGTGCCCACCTCAGCTTCGGCCACAAATTGGCTAGGATTTATGACTTGCCTGTAAGGATACAAATAAAAAGCAAGAGGGAACATGAATAAAAACCAAATTTCTGAAGATTGTACTACCCCTTCTACACCCCTACTTACCCATCGACATTTTTCGATTGCACCGAAGTGGTAATAATTTCCGCCTTATCACCCAGCTGATAATATTGATTGAGATTTAGGGTTTGATCCTGTTTACTCAAATTCAAAACGATTACATATAAATCACTGCCGGCCTTCTGGCGAGAATAGACGATAATATCATTGGCAATGGCTTGGATATTGAGTTCTCCATCCTGCAGAGAGGGTTCCTTGCGTAGCTTTAGCAATTTTTTAAAGATTTGTAAATGGGATTGCGGGGCACGCAATTGGGCCAAGGCATTAACGGTCACATAGTTATCAGCCACCGGGAGCCAGGTGTGATCACCAGTGGTGAAACCTAGAAGGGGGTGAGAAAGGAGGGGACTTAATTAAATTTCCAAAAAAGGGGATTTAAAAAAATAATTTTCTGAGGTCCCAGGATTGTCAGGATTTTTTAAAAATGTTTTTCTAAAGTCCCAACATTTTCCAGAATATTTTAAAAATATTTTTGAGGGCGTGGATTTTTAACAAAAAAATATTGTTCTAAGATTTTGCTCACCTGCCAAATTGGAGGCATCCCACTGATATGGAGTACGTGCGGGATCTCTGGACAAGCCATAGTAGGTCTGGGGATTACCATTACAGGCCTGGGGATCCACGGAATCTTCCCAGCTAATAAACACATCGGTCATTACCAATTCTTCACCCTATAAAAACGATTAAAATTTTTTAATATTTTATCTGCTATGAGTTCCCACATTTCCCTCAATATCTTACATTATAGGTAACAGCATTCCCGGGCAATGTCTGTAACAAAATATTAAACAAATCCGCTCTATTCACACCCAATCTTGAGGCCAAACGTTTATTATCATGATTACCCAGCACCCAATTGGCATAGACATCCTTAGGCATGGCATTCAACCATTTCGTGATATGGCCCACAATATCCGCAGCCGAGGTATCATTCAAAACATTTGTCAAGAAGTCAAAATTGAATGGGACATGCGAACCATTCCTTTTGCCATCACCATAAAAACGTAAAATATTCTCGAAGCTGGTATAAGCCTCTGTCAACAGGATCCTTGTATCGCCACCATGTTCCTTTTTAAATTCATCGGCCAAGGCACGCCATTGATAGGCCATATCAAAGGTTTCCGGTTGATCATTGGTGTAGATATGTTGCAAATGGCAATAATCATCTTTATCGGGACAGGAGGCAACATTTTCTATTACCGGTTCATCGGGATAATTATTATTGGCATCCAATTCTTTTTCGAACAAAAATGGTACAGCATCAATACGGAAACCGGCAATACCCTTGCCCAACCAGTAACGCATAACATTTTTCATCTCCGCCACCACTTTGGGATTGCGATAATTCAAATCGGGTTGTTTAATCGCGAATTGATGGAGATAATATTGCTGACGTTTGTCGCTCCATTGCCAGGCACTATAACGGAAGGCACTTAACCAATTGCTGGGTGGTTCACGTTCTCCCGTTGTGGCATTCACTTTGCCATCATGCCAAACATAGAAGTCACGATATTCCGGGTCATTATTTTCCGATTTTATGAACCATTCATTTTCATCACTCGAATGATTGGGTACGAAATCGAGAATAATTTTAATACCAACTTCTTTGGCTTTGCGTATCATATTTTCAAAATCTTCCATGGTACCATATTCCGGATGGACTTGATAGAAATCGGAAATGTCATAACCAAAATCAGCCATGGGTGATTTGAATATGGGTGAAAGCCAGGCGGCAGTGAAGCCGATGTCCTTGAGATATTGAAGTTTTTCGGTGACACCTGGAAGAGGAGGGGAATTAAAAAAGAACTTCCAATCTTCAGGATATTGGCTGAAGTTTATCTCTTTCGGGTCTTTTTTAGGTCCTTGCTTTTTCATTTATTTTTTCTATTACAATTTTTGCTACCTTTTCACTTGACCTACCATTTAAATCACCAATGCCATCACCGTCACTATCACGAAATGATCGAGGATATATTTGATAGAAATTGCCATTCTCCCACCAATCCTTGGACCACACTGAACCGGTTAGTGTGGTGGCAATCAACACCACTACAAACACAAGGATTTTCATAGCAATTTTTTTAATTAAATTATTTTATTTTTATTTTTTAGAACTCATCAATAGGAGCGGAGGATATTTTCACGACCCGTTACCGTCACAAACTTTGTGATGTATGAAAAAATTCACCTGCTTTTATAATAAAATATTGTTTGAATATTTTTTTATTTTATTTTTTAATTAAATTTTTGTTTAACACAAATTACAATTGTTTAACAAATAATAAAACCAAATTTAATTAACTGGAACTCTTGTGCATTTTTAGAGAATTTTATAAGATTTGAAGTGCTTAAAAAATGGGTGTAATTTTTTTATGGCACATCTGGGGGCTTGTCAAGCTTTGTAGCAACTAAAATAGAAAATTTTTTTAGTTGTTAGGGCAGCAGATCTGGAGATAGATCTGAATTCGCAAAATTCCGACAATTTATAAATAAAAAACCAGTGAGCGGAGCAGTAAAGTCCAACGGGGCCGACCATACTACACAACTACGACTTAGTTCTAACTTTCTAAGGAAATTTTTCTGAGCCTGGGAAATATTTCGTGACATTTGCACCCACTTGCCCGATAAGAGGTCAACAGCACATCTTTCATACACTGACATATTTTCCGAATATTACTAATATTCAGTACAGCCCTTCTTATTACTTGTCCAGATTGACTTCAGCGTGGGTTGTATGGTCACGATCGGCTTATATCTGTGGCCTATAGATCGATTCGAAAAATCACAAAAAAATTAAATTTTCGGTCCAATTCATCCCAAAATTGTTAAGTGATCATCTCCGAAAATTATAGCCGTTGACCTTGACCATACCTGGATCCTCATGGACAATTTCAAAGCGATGAGCGCTATATTTTCGCCCTTTAGTGTGGTAATGGGTTACTAAATAATATATGAATACGTAAGCACCTGTAAATATTTAAGTGTAACTCCCACATCCGAGAACATACGACAATATAATTGGTATCAATTTAAAGGTCAGCCACTCCTCTTGGATATACTATCAAATTCTCGGGTCTATGTCCTTCAGGAGTAAACATATACACCATAGAATATAAATTTTGTCATGTTTCACACAAAAGTCAGGGTCCATTTGACTTGCTGACCGATCTTTATCAAAACAGGCATGCTTATTCTTTGGCTCGATCCCCTTCTCCATGTAAAAATTCGTGATGTTTGGACCATAATTTCGGCCTCTGGAGCGACCAGAAAAACGGACAAAAATTAAGTTTTTGGTCCATTTCATCCCCTAAATATTAACCGATCTTTACCAAAAACAATAGGGGTCTTCATTGGCCAGAACCCATTCTATATGCAAAATTTCGTGAAGATTGGTCCATAACTGTGGCCTGTATCATGTTTACAAATTATAATGGACAGACGGACGGACGGACGGACACACATGTCTAGATCGACTCACCTAGTCGAGATATGACGATCGGTATACTTAAAGGTGGGTCTAGGAGCAATATTTCTCGGCTTGGGGCTGCACAAACTTATAATAACCTGACAACATAGTTGTGTAGGGTATAAAAATCCACGCCGATATCGACTGCTTAAAATAACGTTTTTTCAAAACTCAAAATTAATTTTCAGTAATTGAAAAACTTTTTTCAAAGATTCATTTCAAAAAAATCCAAAAAAAAAATCAATGCTAACCTATGACAACACTTACTCTCTGATAAGAGAGTATCACAGCCGGCTTACATGACATTTGCTGCGTAACCTCTTTGTGATTCATGTTGACGTCGTCCAGAGTAAATATGCGGAACTCTCAAGTACCAAAAAGTATACATGTAAATACTTCACTATTGATAAACATTTATTAATTGATAATTAGGAGGGGTTTATTTTACTCTTCTGGAAATTATCAGGAAACCAAAATAAATAAAAAATAATAAAAAAGTGTGACGAAGTACTGGCCATTAAAGGAAATTTTCGAAAAAGTTCAAATACTAAATATTTCAAAATTTTTATTGGGAGATTTAATGAGAGAAGTATAACAACCCTTAATATGGGTACTGTTGGGCGCCACTTGGAAACATTTTTTGTGAGATTAGTGAATATCATTTCTTTCAATAAAAAAGGGCGAAAATGCTATATATATGTAATGTGGCGCCCAACATAATTAATTCCAAAACATTACAAATAAAAACTGTGAATAAATATTCCCGTACAGCTTCAGAAATAATTTAGAGACCAGTCCTTCAGCTTGTCTATAAAAGACTTCCACATCACCAACTCGAATATAAAACCTGCTGGTCTTCGGCTCGTATATAGATACTCCCTGATTTTCAGCTCGTCTATAGAGACTCCCTGGCCTTCAGCTCGTCTATAGAGACTCCCTGGCCTTCAGCTCGTCTATAGAGACTCCCTGGCCTTCAGCTCGTCTATAAAGCCTCTCTGGCCTTCAGCTCGTCTATAGAGACTCCCTGGCCTTCAGCTCGTCTATAAAGACTCCCTGGCCTTCAGCTCGTCTATAGAGACTCCCTGGCCTTCAGCTCGTCTATAGAGACTCCCTGGCCTTCAGCTCGTCTATAGAGACTCCCTGGCCTTCAGCTCGTCTATAGAGACTCCCTGGCCTTCAGTTCGTCTATGGAGACTCCCTGGCCTTCAGCTCGTCTATAGAGACTCCCTGGCCTTCAGCACGTCTATAGAGACTCCCTGGCCTTCAGCTCGTCTATAGAGACTCCCCGGCCTTCAGCACGTCTATAAAGCCTCTATGGGCTTCAGCTCGGTTCTCTTACCTTCAGCTCATTTATAGAGACTCCCTGGCCTTCAGCTCATCTATAGAGACTCCCTGGCCTTCAGCTCGTCTATAGAGACTCCCTGGCCTTCAGCTCGTCTATAGAGACTCCCTGGCCTTCAGCTCGTCTATAGAGACTCCCTGGCCTTCAGCTCGTCTATAGAGACTCCCTGGCCTTCAGCTCATCTATAGAGACTCCCTGGCCCTTAGCTCGTCTATAGAGACTCCCTGGCCTTCAGCTCGTCTATAGAGACTCCCTGGCCTTCAGCTCGTCTATAGAGCTCCCTGGCCTTTAGCACGTCTATAAAGCCTCTCTGGCCTTCAGCTCGGTTCTCTTACCTTCAGCCCAGCTTACAGAGACTCCCTGACCTTTACCTCGTTTATAGAAACTCGTCCATTGTTACTCTATATTTTTTCCAGATCTCCAGATATCTGTTTCTATCTTTGACGTAATTATTTCAGAACTTTCAATTTCCAAGAAATGAAAATTGTTTTTCCACTTGTCAACAATGTAAAGATCGTGAAAAAGTAAATATTTTATCACCCAGGTGATCATAATATTGGTACAGATGGTTTTGCTATAGTCAAGTGGCGCCAGCAGATTATCTGTAGGCATATAAATATCCCAGAGATCAGCTAAATGCTAAGCAGTGTCAATTACCATTAATTGGGAAAACGAACTGTGTGTGAGGAAAATGTGGAAATTTTTAACATTGTTTGTGGTGGGACTATCCCTAAGGGTCTCCGCTCGTGACTGGTGGGAAAATGGCAATTTCTATCAGGTATATCCAAGATCCTTCCGGGATAGTAATGGTGATGGTGTGGGTGATTTGAATGGTAACAGGACCAAGGATTGCGAGGGATGTCTGGAAAATAATAATTTTTCATTTTCGATTTACAGGTGTGGCCCAAAAAATTGAATATCTCCGCGACTTGGGCATGGATGGTGTTTGGCTTTCGCCCATTATGAAATCGCCCATGGCTGACTTTGGTTATGATATTTCCGATTACTATCAGGTCCAAGGGGAATATGGTTCCTTAGATGATTTGTTGCGTTTGATTGAGAAGGCTCACAGTGTGGGTTTGAAATTGATTTTGGATTTTGTACCCAATCACACCAGCGATGAACATGAATGGTTCCAGAAGTCGGTGGCCAATGATTCCTATTATCGTGACTTCTATGTATGGCATGATGGTAAAATTAATCCTGAAACTGGTAAACGTGAACCACCCAGTAATTGGTTGTCGCAATTCAAATATTCCGCCTGGGAATGGAATGACCAACGTCAACAGTATTATCTCCATCAGTTCGGTGTGAAACAACCCGATTTGAATTATCGCAACCCCAACGTAGTGGCTGCCATGAAAGATGTCTTGAATTTCTGGATGGATCATGGTATTGATGGTTTCCGTATTGATGCGGTGCCTTTCCTATTCGAAAGTGAAATTGACCCATCAACTGGTACCTATCCTGATGAACCGGTGGTTGCTGATACCTCCTCCTGTCCCGATCCCAATGATTGGTGCCATTTACAGCATCCTCATACTAACTCCTTGCCGGAATGTATTGATATGGTCTATCAATGGCGTCAGGTGATTGATATCTGGAAATTAGAACACAATTCCACCACGAAGATTTTGTTGACCGAAGCCTATACCAGTTTTGAGAATCTCATGAAAATGTATGGCGATGGCCAGAGAAATGGTTCCCATGTCCCATTCAATTTTGAAATGTTGGCTGCCTTGAATAAGGACAGCACTGCGGAGGATTATCGCTACTATGTTAAACATTGGGTGGACAATATGCCCGATGATGTCTATGCCAATTGGGTATTGGGTAATCATGATAATCGCCGAGTGGCTTCCCGATTTGGACCACAACGTAAGGATTTGTTAAATATTTTCTTGCAGACATTGCCGGGTATTTCGGTGACCTATAATGTAAGTAGAAACCAGGCAACTACCTATAAGAATTCCTAATTCATGTCTTTCCCCTCTCTTCCCACAAAAAGGGTGACGAATATGGTGCCGAAGATGTTGAATATTCCTGGGAAGATACCGTCGATCCCCAGGGCTGCAATGCCGATCCAGAAACCTATCAGAAATATACTCGTGATCCCGTACGTGCCCCCTTCCGTTGGGATTCCTCTGCCAATGCTGGCTTCAGTCGTGCCGCCAAGACTTGGCTACCCGTGGGTGAGGGTTATGAAAATAACAATGTCCAGGCTCAATTGGATGCCGATAATAGTCATTTGAAAATCTTCCTGCGAGTAAATAAATTGCGTCGTGAGGAGCCAGCCTTTAGTGGACACAGTGTAGATCCCGTCGTCGTAGATAATGTATTGATTTATGAAAGGTAAGGAGAGTTAGGAAATTTACATCGAATAGAATTTACTAAAAAATCGACTTTTTTCAGAAATCCCCCTTCCCGCAATGATGACTCCTTTTTGGTTGTCCTAAATATTGGTGATGTTGATGTGCCATTGAATTTGAGTGAATTTTCTAAAAAGGTTGGCCAGCAGGTTGAGGTCTCGGTTAGCTCTTTGCAATCGGGCCTAGAACCAGGGTAAGTTGGAGTATGCAGATTTTTTATTTTTTTCTTTAAATTATTCTTTTTTTCTTTTAAATTTAGACAAGTTGTTGACAGTGAAAATTTCGTTGCCCAGGCCTATGTGGGCTATGTCTTACGCTTGATCTAAAATATCCAAAAAAAAAAAAAAAAAAAAATCATTCAATATTTTGTATACAAACATTTCTAACCCCAAATAAATACATTTTCATGTAGTTACCCAGCAAACATTTTGATCGACTGTTTTAATGAAACTTGTTAAAAATATATTTTCCGAATTCCATATTAGCTTTACAGCAATATAAGGGCAGGGGTTTCTATAGACGACTTGATGGAGAGGGAGTCTCTAAAGACGGGTTGAGGTTGAGAGAGCCTCTGTAGATGAGCTAAATACCAGGCAGCATCTATAGACCAGATGGTCTCTATATATGGCCTGAAGGCCAGAGAATCTGTAGGCAAGCGGAAGGGCTGATCTGAACGCTAGGGAATCTCTACATACGTGTTAGCGGCCAGAAAGCCTCAATCGACGAGCTGAAGACCTTGGAGTCTCTATAGACGAAATGTCATAGAGTTCTGGTGGACGAGCTGAAGGCCACGAAGTCTCTATCGACGAGCTGAAGGCCACGAAGTCTCTATCGACGAGCTGAAGGTCAGGGAGTTTTTTTATAGATGACGTGAAGGCCAGACAAACTGAAGGCCATAGAGCCTATATAGAGTATCTATAGGAGAGTTGAAGGCCAGGGAGACAAGATGAAAACCAGAGTGCCTCTAAAGACGAGCTGAAGACCTTAACGACGATGGAGTAAAGGCCAGGATTTTATAAAACTATTTTTCGAAGTTGGAACCTTAGCCGAGGAGTTTTTCAAAAGATTGTTTAGGTTTGATACTTTGGCATGGATTTTTTTAAGGTGAAACCATAGACGTGGATTTTAAATAAATTTTTAGGAAGAAACCTAGGCGTGGTCTTTTCACTGAGGTCACTGAGTTTTTTTATAGACGACATTAAGGCCAGCGAGGCTCTACAGACAAACTGAAGGCCATAGAGCCTATATAGAGTATCTGTAGGCGAGTTGAAGGTCAGGGAGTCTCTACAGACAAGATGAAAACCAGAGTGCCTCTAAAGACGAGCTGAAGACCTAGGAGTCTCTATAGACGAGCTAAAGTCCAGGAAGTCTCTACAGATGGACTAAAGGCCAGGATTTTTTAAAACTATTTTTCGAAGTTGGAACCTTAGCCGAGGAGTTTTTGAAAACATTTTTTAGGTTTAATACTTAGGCATGGATTTTTTAATGTGAAACCATAGACGTGGATTTTAAATATATTTTTTAGGAAGAAACCTTAGGCGTGGACTTTTTAAAAATATATTTTAGAGTCTTTATCAAGTCGTTAATTTGTAGCTTTGTGCAGCCCCAAGAGTTTATAACGCCGCGAAATATTGATCCTAGACCCACCTTTAAATATACCGATCGTCATATCTCGACTAGCTGAGTCGATCGATGTGTGTCCGTTCGTCCGTCTGCCCATTATAATTTGTAAACAATTATGGATCAATCTTCACGAAAATTTTCATGTAGGATGGCTTCAGGCTAATGAAGACCCCTATTGGGTTGGTAAAGATCGGTTAATATGAAATGGACCAAAAACTTAATTTTTGTCGGTTTTTCTGGTCGCTACAGAGGCCGCAATTATTGCCAAACATCGCGATTTTTTCATGGAGAAGGGGGTCGGGCCAAAAAATAAGCATGCCTGTTTTGATAAAGATCGGTCAATATTTAGCGGGTCAAATGGACCCTGACTTTTGTGTGAAAAATTACAAAATTTGTATTATATAGCATATACATTTACCTGTAGAGGACGAGGCCCGAGATGTTGATAATATATACAAGAAGAGTGGTTGGCCTTTAAGGGGACCCCCCCATTCTCGGGGTCAAAATTTTTGTTGATATAATTCGAATCTACACTAATTAAAGAATGTCTCACAAAATTTCAAGTGAAAATCTCAATAACTCTTGAAGATATAGCCGATTTATTGTGCCAGCATCAAGTGACGGCTGAAGGGCTTCTCAAACTTTAAACGCGTTTTTCTCTAAACATTTTTTGCGAATGGCGGGCACGATAACTCAAAAACTAATAATCCAATCGGTTCCAAATTTTGCAACGTTTCTCTGGGAGTGTATAGCTCTCGTATGAACTAGGATAAAGCCAATCGGTGAAGATCTTCCTTATTTTTTAACTTGGTTTTTGGTCAAAAATCTGCGATTTTCCAAAAATATTTTTCAAAGGTCCGTCATTTTGTTAATTTTAGAGCGAAGTCAATAATCCTAGTTCATACGAGAGCCAGAAATGCACTCTTTCTAACACCGTTGGAATTTTCGGATTCCGATGTTCCAGTGAGGAGTTATCATGCCCGCCATCAAAAATAAGGACTTTTCATTAATTACAAAAAACAATAACAACAATTTTTTGTAAATTATTTTTCTTCTCTTTTAAATCTTCAATTATATATGTGCAAAGTTACAAACCTTAACAAGCATTGGTACTGATTTACCAGCCCATTGAAAATCTTGAAAAATTAAAATCGAGAATGGGTGGGGTTCCCTTAAATTGATACCAATTATATTGTCGTATGTACTCGGATGTGAGAGTTACACTTAAATATTTATAGGTGCTTATGTATTCAGATATTATTTAGTAAATCATTACCACTCTAGAGTACGGAAATATAGCGCTGATCGCATAGACATTTTGCATAAGGTTCCAGTTATGGTCAAGGACAACGCCAATAATTTTCGGTGATGATCACATAAAAAATTTGGGATGAAGTGGACCGAAAGCTAAATTTTTTGTGTTTTTCGATTACCATCACAATACAAGCCACGGCGAAGGGAATCTGGACAAGTAATTAGAAGGGCTGTACTGAATATTGGGAATATTCGTATATGTCTGTGTGAGGAAGTGGCGCTGTTGATCTCTAATCGTTCTAGAGAGTGTAAATATCACGAAATATTGCCCAGGTTCGAAATAAACCTAAGAAGAAAGTTAGAGTTCCGTGGTGGTTGTATAGGGTATCGCATGGTCGGCCTCTTCCGACCGCTCCGCTCACTGGGTTTAATATTTTGTTGTCATGAGGAAATCTTCTATATAACCTCAAATATTGACTTGTTTATTGGAGTTGAAACCTTGTTAACATTTGTTTTGAAAGAATTTTCAAAACATCTACAATTGTTTCTCAACGCAATCATAGTAACTCAAGTTCAATTGAAGTTTATCTTTTTTTATATAAAATAAATATTTACAATAAATTGAAAACATTGAAATCATTCATTTGATAGGTGTTGATCACTGGGTAAACTCATGGTAAATATTTGCAAGTGGTCAATAGACAATGTATTTTAAATTGATGTACGTAATTTGTACTTATATATTTTCAATTTTATAACCATAACATTTGAGCAGGTGTTTTATTCAGGAGAACATAAAGTGATGTTTAGAGCTTGACAACAGCTTAGAAATATGAAAGTATGGATTCAAAAAATATTGTTATTTAGTCCGCGCCTTGATATATACCTCAAAAAATATTTTTATTAAATCCGCACCTTGATGTAGACCTTAAAAATATTTCTAATAAATCCGCGTCTTGATTTTGACCGCAAAAAATATTTTTTATTGAAACCGCGCCTTAATATGGACCCTAAAAATAAATAAAAAAATCTGCGCCTTGATGTACACCTCAAAATTTATTTTTATTAAATCCGCACCTTGATGTAGGCCTTAGAAATATTTCAAAAAACCCACGACTTGATGTAGGTCTTAAAAAACAAAAAAAAAAAAAACAGTAAGGAAAGTAGTAAAGTCGGACGGGGCCGACTATATGATACCCTTCACCACTATGAGTATATTAAACAGGGCTAATAACATGAAATTGGATGAAATAAAATATGTGATATTTATCTAAATGTGAATCGACTTAGATCTATCCATAAACATGTCATTCGTTTGTTACAATGGGACAAAAGTATGTAAATCGACTTCAAAAAATATCAATAGGTCATCCGTTGGGCTATGTCTGTACTTCTAGAAAACGCAACTACGTAATTCTATGCTCAATTTTGTGCAAAATTTGATGCCAATCTGACTAACATGAGGAATTTGATGCCCAATTTACTTAAAATCGGGTGAAAATATATATGGAAGCTATATCCAAATATGAACCGATTTCAACGAAACTAATCACAGGTTAGGTTACACTAATTTCAGTAAGTTTTGTTCCTATCAGCCATATATTGGTCCCTTGGTGCGTCAATTTCTTAAAATCAATCTATAATATATGGAAGCTCTATCTAAATGTCAACCGATTTTCACAAAAACTTGGCACACATCATTCTGTACTAAATTCAGTACGCCAAATTTCGTGCAAATCGAAAGATATATGTGGACTTTGGTGCACCATTTACATGAAATCGGACGAAACTATATATGGGAGCTATATCTAAATCTGGACCGATTTTCACGAAACTTGCCAGACATCATTCTAGACCCAAATGATTAGGCTGTACCAAATTTCGTGCAAATCGAAAGATATATAGGGACTTTGTGGCACCATTTACATTAAATCGGACGAAACTATATATGGGAGCTATATCTAAATCAGGACCGATTTTCATGAAACTTGGCAGATATCATTTTAGGCTCAATTCAGTACGTTATGCACAATTTCGGGCAAATCGAAAGATATATAGGGACTTTGGGGCACCATTTACATTAAATCGGACGAAACTATATATGGGAGCTATATCTAAATCTGGACCGATTTTCACGAAACTTGCCAGACATCATTCTAGATCCAAATGATTAGGCTGTACCAAATTTCGTGCAAATCGAAAGATATATAGGAACTTTGGGGCACCATTTACATAAAATCGGACGAAACTATATATAGGAGCTATATCTAAATCGGAGCCGATTTTCTCGAAACTTGGCAGACATCACTCTAGGCTTAATTCAGTACGTTATGCAGAATTTCGTGCAAATCAAAAGATATATAGGGACTTTGGGGCACCATTTACATGAAATCGGACGAAACTATATATGGGAGCTATATCTAAATCTGGACCGATTTTCACGAAACTTGGCAGATATCATTCTAGGCCTAATTGATTAGCCTGTACTAAATTGCGTGCAAATCGAAAGATATATAGGGACCGTTTCCATTAAATCGGGCGAAAATATATATGGGAGCTATATCTAAATCTGAACCGATTTTTCCCAATTTCAATAGGGTTCGTCCTTGGGCCAAACAAATGAACTGTGCCAATTTTCATCCATATCGGATCATAAATGCGACCTGTACTTTGCTCACAAAAATACATGGACAGACAGACATACGGACAGACGGACGGACGGACATGCATAAATCGACTTAAAAAGTGATTCTATGCATATTCTCAAAAGGAACCATGGGTCTATTTCGTTTCCTTTTGCCTGTTACAAACATATGCACAAAGACATAATACCCTGTACCACAGTGTGGTGAAGGGTATAAAAAACTATTTATTTTGTGAAATCCTGAAGGTGCTCTGGTCCATTTTTTTCGCAGTGTATATCCCAATTTGAAATAATGTTTATCTTAAAAGCAAAAAATAATATCGAGAACCTAACCAAATGGCTATTTTGATTATAGTTCCATAAAGATTACATTCCCCCTATTAACCCAATACAGCATAGTTCTGGTCTATCTCGAACCCTCATTATCACCTACAATTAAAGTGGTAATCAATTTCAAATTATAACAAAAAAATCCGATAAAGAATTTTCATTTCGAAAATCGAACGATTTCACCCTGAAGCCAGTTGTTCACATTATCGAATCGCCAATGTCAGATTTTGGTTATGATATTTCGAATTTTACTCGTATGATTCCATTTTTGGTACTTTGGAAGATTTTGATGCCATGATCGCCAAGGCCAAACAGTTGGGAGTGAAAATTATTTTGGATTTTGTACCGAATCATTCCAGCGATGAATGTGAATGGTTTCAAAAATCCATAAGAAGGGAGGTGGGGTTTGAGGATTTCTATGTGTGGGATGATGGTAAGGTGGATCCGGAGGATAACTCGAAGCGACTGCCGCCAAGTAATTGGGTAAGTTAACGCATCTCTCTCTCTCTCTCTCTCTTCAAAGTAATAATTTAAAATTTTAAAAATTATCATTTTTTAGATTTCCGTTTTTGGTGGCTCCCAATGGACCTGGAATGCCGAACGCCAGCAATTCTATTTGCATCAATTCCAGGATAAACAACCCGATTTGAATTTTTCCAATCCTTTGGTGAGACAACACATGTTGGGTGTATTGGAATATTGGTTGGATCGTG